CTCGGGGGCCTTCCGATGGGCTTTGATGAGGGAGACGAAGCGTGGTGAGGCGAGATTGCCGTAACAAAAAGCGTCTGCTAACCCGGATGGACCAGTTTGAGGCTGAGGATACCTCGAGCCAAGACGAAAGGAGAAGGACAACATCTCACCAGGAAAACTTTGAAAGACCTCGTGTTCAGATCGTGAGTCAAGACCGACATGACTGTTTGTATATTACACATCTAGATCTAACGAGAAACAGAGATAGAGAGAGGAATTGAGATGGGTATCACAAAGCTTTCCGAACATCGTAACAACTGTCCGTGATAAATAATCGCCCTCCAAAATACAAGTCAAGAGCAATTCGCCCTTTGGGGCTTTTTAACCCAGATCAAACCACCAGCCCAAGTTCGCTTTTCTTTTGAGTAACCATGAGACACATCAAGAAGGACATCACAAACATCGCATGCATCAACTAAAGTCCCACGATTCTCCCCACAACTCGTTCAAGTTCAATCCCAGTGCTTCAAGATTAAAGTCGGGATTGTATGACTGCGCCTTTGCCAACACATTGTCAGCGACAAGTGCTGGGAGTGCTGGGGAGAAGTCGTGGAGACTCACCTGCGGATCAATGGATGGTGGCATCCATGGCAGGGGTTGAGGCAGGAGCCCGTCCATCGCGTTCTGCGACGACGGGTAGCCCTGGAAGGAGAAGGGCGTTACCGACTGAGGAGGACAAGTCAGCCACTGTTCTCTTTTGAACGACGAAAACAACGAATGGGCGGGTTTGCTTACCTTTGGTCTCTCGGGAACTTCCAATCCGGGAATCTTGGACAGCTCTGATGGCTGGCTCGATACCGGAGGTTCCTGGTTCGCCAGCAGCTTGTAGTGCAGGTTGACGAAACGTTCCGCAGACGATGCTTTGGCTTGTTCGGTTGTCTTTGTGCCCAGGTGGGCTTCGAGAAGGCCGAGTGCAGAGCACATGATGGAGTAGCCCCAGGGCTCGTTGTTGCCACAGCGGAGGATTCTATCTTCCTTCATGTGGAGGCACTTCTCGAGGAGTTTGACGGTGTGTTGCGAGTTGATCATGATCATGTTTGTCGAGCCGCGCGGCTGCAGCATGGTAACGCTGCAGAGGTTGACGGCCGTGGTCAGCGCGTCCTCGCGGAGGAAGTTGAGGCTGCGAATACCCTGCTCGTAGAGCTTGTCGTGGAGCAGGACGATGTCTCGGGCGGCGTTGTAGTAGATGATCTCGGAGTACTGGTACTTGGCGTTGGATTTGCGAAGCTTGAGGAAAGGTTGATGGAGGGGAACGATGTATTGGCGGAGTTGGATGTGGAGCAGAGTGTAGGCGAGAAGAGGTCTCTTGCCGCCGTGTGTGTTGTTGCTGTTGTGCTCCCAGGAGGGAAGGGAGTCGATTTCGTGCGTAATGTCGTTGGTGTACCGGATGACTTGGTCATAGTCCAGGTCTCCTGGCGGGCCGCAAAGGAGGCGGCTCAACTCCATGCGCAGCGGCAGACTCTGGCGGGCCAGGTTCTGGTAGGAGGAGAAAGTGTACTCCTTGCCGTGCTTGGAAGGCGGGAGCTGCGTCGTGTCTTCGTCAAAGTCCTCATCGTCCAAGTTTCTTGGTGGCTGCACATCGTAGTGCAACTGGCTCACAAGCGTGGGCAGTCCGTGGTCGAAAGAGGCTTGCATGTCAAACTCTTGCACCGTCGCCCAGATTCTCCGTCTCATCTCCTGGTTGTAGACTGAAATCTTGCTGGCCCCCATGATGCCAGGTTCCCGGTGCAGTCCGACGGAGATGCCGTCCTGGATAAGAGCGCCAGAGTTCGTCCAGAAGCGCTTCTTCTTCACGGTGTTGACCCGCTTGGCGAGATACAGGAGGCAAGCAATCTGGTAGTGGATGAGCTTTCGGTGCTTCACACTCTGGTGATCTTGCCAATTTTCAACGGCCTTGATCCACTTTTCAGCGGCATTCTGGGCGTTGGAAATCATTCCGGTGAACCTCAAAGACTCGTGGGTGTGAATGCAGTTTGCTACTGCGCAGATGGAAAGGACGAGAGCGGTGAGTGCTGCGTAGCGGGATTCGGTTGGGTTCTCCCAGAACTCCGAGTACTCTCTGCGGAAGGTGGGAATGTGGATGATGCGGTGCATTTGCTCGAATTGGTCAATGTAGACCTCGAGTAAAGCATCGCAGTGCTCCTTCGGTGGTAGAAGAGCCTCAAGCTGGGCGTCAGGCTGAAGGTAGAACTTGTCTCTGTCATCCTTGCGCTTCTTGCGGTCTTTGCGGTCATGAGCCTTCACGGGCTTGAGCCACTCATCTGCCGTCTCCTTCATGAAGGGGCACAGACCAGTCAACTGTAAGGCAGTCAGATGAGAGTTCTTCATTAGGATGAAAAAGGGCTCATATGAGCGAGAGAGACCTACCTCGATGAAAGCCATTGTGGCGTTGTGAGGACCAAAATACCGCGTTCTGAATTCCTTGCCCCTGAAAAAGCGGAGCTCCGACTTGTCCCCATCACCATACTGATGCCAGCATGACTGAAGCTCTGAGTTGTTTGCGCAAGGGTCGGCTGGTGCTTCATTGGTCTCATCCTTTTGAGTGAGTGGCGAGTTGGTGCCGGCAATTGTGCTTCCATCGAATGATGACATGGCCTGTCGTGTGAGCTGAGTCTTGAGCTGAGCGACCTCGAGCTCGAGACGGCGAATGCGGTCGTGATCCTTGGCCGCCTCGCGGATAAGAGAAACATCGGCTTCCTTGCCGGGAACAGCCAGCTCGCCATTCCTCCGTGAGTCGAGCTGGGCAAAGGCAGGCGGAACGCCAGAGCTGGCGTTCAATACAGCACCCGACTTGGTCTCATACGTGCAGCGATCCGGCGTGCCGCTCTTCAGGCACCGCTGGCACGGGTAGCCTCTGTCACAAGACAGCTTCCTCCGGCGACACTCCAGACAGCTTAGACGCACGCGTTGGCGCTTGCGGGGGTGCTGTGAGTTCTCATCGTCTTCGCGTGAGTTAGCGGGAGACAGACTCCCACCGTCATCCACTGAGGGAGACATTGTATCGTTGGCTGAATTCATGGTGTTGATGCGGCTCAGTCTTGTAGCGCGGGAGGCGAAAATGATCAAAAACGAAGGGAAAATGTACCGCGCGTGAGACACAGGCCACGGCCACGGTTATATCAATCAGTACCGAGTTACAAATGGATTAGCCTCCGGTCCGGAGTGGGCACATTCTACCCGCCGCTTGCTGTCAAGATGTGCTCGAAATCCAAGGGAAGAAACTTCCCCCTGTCAGTTAGCGAAAGCTACCGCCGAGCGAGCGTCGTCAGTGTCTTAACAGTTTTTGCATGCGGATTGTATGGGACGATGTTAGGCCTTGGCGAAAAAGCTTACATAAGGCCGACAATTCCGAGCACCGAGGTGCTAGAACCGAGCCCCTCCGAGTGAGGCTTTCCACTTTTATGGCAGCCAAATGTGGGGCATCTGATAAGATTAGATCGGCCCTTCCCCTCTCAAAGGTCCCCATTCTTGACTCACACGACAGGGATTAAGATCAGATAAAAATTTTGTTCACTAGCACCCACCTTAGCTGCAACCCACAAGCCGACCGAACATGGGGATGAGCCGACGCAAGACGCGTTGTTCCCACCACCTTTACCTAAAATGAACAAGGCCTCCATCTTCCATCATCCACGCAGATGTTCACGGCGATCCACGATCACGAGAATTGCACCGACCGTTCCTCTCTTTCTCTTTCTCTCTGCCTGCTGGCCCTATTTACAATTTCGTTCACCACGACAGACAACACCAAGACATGACCGTGACGCAGCAAAAGACGCGACGAAAACGCGGCTTGGCTAGGCTGAGCAAAGTCAACCTGTACTCGACGATCGATGTCTCGTGACACACTCCATTGAGCGGTAAAAGGGGGCCGTCAATGCCACGCGAGTCACCGTTGCATCCTCCCAAAAAATGCCTCTAATGTCGTCAGAACGTTTCCAGGAATACCTGCTCTATCCGTACTGGCGGACCATGCAGAAATCAGGGCTGTGTCACACCGACTGCCACTAGTCCTGCCGACGAACCCGGTCTTCGCGATGGACCTTCTCCATCAATGGATCTTTTTTGTCATTCAATTCCTCGGGAATGCCTTGGCACCAATCTCTTTCATCAGGTCAAAATATCTGGTTCAAGGTTGTCTGCACTGCACACTGCAAGTCTGCATCACAACGAGGGATATTCGAACCTGAAGAGGACAGACTCTGGACATGAATGGGGGAAACGGCGAACGAGACCGACAGGTCACAAAACACTAAATCTGTCAAACATGACAACTTGACAAGCATGGAAGTTGCTGGCAACGACACATCTCAACGGGGAAAGTGTCAAACAATGGTCTCCCCAGCTCCAGCGGACAACGTTGTTGTCGGGTCCCGAATCCCGAACACTTCCATCCATTCTGGCCATTCTGGTGGGATGTCCCCAACTCTGAACTTTTGAGGATTCTTCCTGTCCAAGACATGGGACCGGGGCCCAGCCATGCAGGCCAGTCGTTAAGCACTTGTGGAGAAAAATCTTCCCAGCTGCAGCGAGTCGAGGCCATTCACGTTCCCTTGCAGATTGGGGACCCCATCCGCTCCAGTCGACACGAACGGACACCCCACACCAAAAGGCCCAGAAACCTTTTTGCAGACCTGCGGACTCTGCACTACATCGCGCGATCGTCCACGCAGCGGCGGCTACGCAACCTCAACCTTCAATCCTCGCGGCGATTTCTCCTCAGCCCACAGCTTTTTTCTTATCAGATCAAGACATCCCTGTCACCACGGATCATCGCTCCGAGATCGGTGCATGGGCCGACGTGAGCTAATGGGCCACATGGAGGCGTTCAAGCGTTTCAAGGAGATCGACGTCAAACACTGCACGGAATGCTTGCTTAACTGCGCGACACACAGCCGCCATGGCCCCGGTGTATTGTAGCACGCTGAGACGTGAACCGGGGCGGATGCGAGCCCGTGGCGGTAGTTTTGTTTCTTCTGCTTCTCGTCACGAAGAATTGTGGCTTTTTCGCAAAATAAACCACTCGATCGTTGGGATTTTTTTCTTTGTGGCTGCCGATTGATGATTGCGATGCAGTAACGGTGTTTGGCTGACTTTGCACGATGCTTCTCTCTTTCTTTACTCTGACCGGATTGCTGGCGATCGTCGGAGCCTTTCACATCCCCGGCAGGGGCTTCGATCGGTTTATTTCCATCTGGCTGGAAAACCAGGCGCGTCTGCCCACATCCCTTGATGACCTACCCCATTCGCTAACGTTGGTTACTCAACAGGATTTCGCCAAAGTCGTTAAAGATTCCCACATTGCTGATCTCAAGAAGGACGGGATTTTGCTCACCAACTACTACGCGCATACCCACCCCAGTCAGGCCAACTACATTGCAGCTCTTGCTGGAGACTACTTTGGCCTGAACCATGACGAACCGGTCCGACTGCCGTTAAACATATCGACCATCGTGGATCTTCTCGACTGGAGGGGTCTGTCATGGAAAGCGTACATGGAAGACATCCCCGGCCCAGGTTACTTGGCTGCTGCCAGCGATGGCCAAACAGGCGATGGAAAGTGGGACTATGTACGGAAACACAAGTTGGTTTGCCCAGGGTCCTGCTGGATCCGCCGATGCTAATATCCTATCAGCCCCTTCGTGTCATTTGACTCCATCAACCTGAACGGATCCCGCCTGCTCAATATCGAAGGGTTTGACGATTTCAAGACCGACTTCGAGAAGAAGAAAGTGCCGCAATGGGTATTTATGTCTCCCAACCAAATGAACGACGGTCACAATACGTCTCTGGAGTATGCCACAAAATGGGCACAGGATTTCCTGAAGCCAATGTTAGTCCCGGGTGCTTTCAAAGAGCGCACGCTCATCCAACTCACCTACGACGAGTCTGAAGATCATGGAAAACCAAACAAGATTGCGTCACTACTCTTGGGCAGCGCACTCCCCGAAGACAGGAGAGGGACGGAAGACAAGACCTTCTATACACACTACTCAATGTTGTCAACAGTTCAGTTCAACTGGGAGACGCCAAATCTGGGCCGGTACGACGTTGGGGCCAATATCTTTCAGTTCGTGCAAGACCTCGGTAGCAGAGTGCTTGTACCGAACAAAGATCCACCCAATATGGCCTCCGTAAACAATTCGGAATCGTACTTTGGACCTCTTAATGGGGATGCGAGCAAGTTCCGCCCGTATCCACCCCCGAATCTTGCTCTCAATGGGTCCAGTGGACTTCCAATTCTGGAGCACACTCGTCTACAATGGGTCTTCCACAATCAGCCGACTCCATACGACGGGAACGGTACTCTTTACGACGCCAATTCCCAACCTCAGTACATCCCGCAAGCCGTCCAATAGCATTGGCCGGACGCCAGGCCGGAGCTCACCCCACGGGCTCGCATATGGGATTGTCCAAGGAACGGCCGCAATATCATATTGGACGCACGCAAGGTTGAGACGTCTTGCCTGATTCGAAGGAATTCAAGTCCGGCATCTTCAACCCTCATGGGCGCTACCAACCAGGTTAAGGTCGCGTGAAAACGATCTTTTGATCCACGTTAATACAGCTCGATACCTCGAACATAAGCGCACGATGTGCTCTGCGATTTGAGCTACTCGACCATCTGATAATGACAGACGTTCCCGGCTTATCATAGAGATGCTGGACGATCTCCCGAGGTCCATCAAAGAATCTTTGCGCGGGATACCCCAGACGGTCAGCGGATGGCTATCTTAGAGCAAGCCACAGGATGGTAATCAAGCATAAAGTGTGGGAGCCGACACCGATGAAATCAATCAAGTCGATGTCTGGGATGCACTTGGCGCATGTGGTACTCTCCAGAGATGCCGAGCTGGCGGTCGGCGCTCCAGTGTCCAAATCGATGATGACGGGGAAGCAGATTTCGATTGTCGATAGCTCAGAGTTTGGAAATGCCCGTCCGTTTGCGCCACGGCTTTCGGAGGCTGGTTGGCCGACGGTAGGCTTGAGACATCTTCCAGGCTCGGGAATGTGGTTGTTTGTGACACCTCGACAGCCTTCGCCACAGTCCTGCTTTTCGGCGGTCCCATATTGCCCACGTTATACCATTTTGCCCGTGTTACACAGCCAGGCTTGTCTCCAACGGCGTCATGGCCTGCGCCTCGCGGCATTTCAGAAGCAAGTTTCATCGCCGAGACGAAAGAATGGCGGGCGTATGTACGGTAGTCGCACTCAATCTATTCAATTTCATTATCGATCCAGATCGACCTGGCTTGTCGGCTTACCTGAAGCACGAGAAGAAAGCAATTCGTTGTAGTCCGTACCTGCTCAGATGCCAGCTCGAAAGATCCGTCAGCGAACAGTGTCGACGGACTAGCCTCCGGAAGATGCGGAACGTCCGGCAAAGAGAATATCTTGATCTCGCGGTCCGTCTCAAGACGGACTAAGAGCAGGTCAATCCGCAGCAATTTCGGTCGACGGGAGATGCACACTACCCGCGGCATCGCCCATCTCATGAGTCGTTTACAACTTTGAGACGATCGATGGACACACGGTCGTAGAATAACGGGAAGCGGGATGCAATTCGGCACTGAAGCAGCATCAAAGCGGACGGGTCCGCAAGAAGAGAGTCAACGGGAAAAGCTCCCGTGTCTTCGTATGACTCAAGGTTATTTGAAGCGTCAGAACAGTACCCTGATTTAGACAGATTCCACATCTAGGAGATGCTTCTGAATCGTGGTAGTTCTTCTAGACGCAGGCCGAGCACAAGACTACCATCGTGAGCTACGTTGACGTGCTGATCCATTTGTGCCTACTTTCTCAACCTCCAAACTGATTCAGTCTGCCCAATTGCGCCGATTCGCCGACCCATGCTAACAAAGTTCCACGCCAGTCACCCGCTGAGCCATCAATGATGTGACTTGCAGAGCATAATACCATCTTAGCGTTGTTCAGCCAGAGCCGTCTTCGCGCTTGCGTACTAGCGCCAGGAGATGGAGGGAGCGGCGCAGCACTAACAACACGACGGAATCTAGTCCCTGATCCGTCCTGGAATGTCTATGGAATGAATGTGCCGGTTTTTACGCACGAAATTTTACTTCCCTCCATATTGTCGAAGGCCGATTGTTGCGCCCGGTGGCTGCCATTGAGCCACCGCCAGACACGCCAGAATCCCCCGCTCTTGAAGCATTTCGACGTCACCACGGGAAACTCTCAAGGTGGCAGTCTATATTGAACCGTATGCTACGAGAAGTGCCGGGCCTGCAGATCCCCCGCAGGCGGAGAGACACGCATGTAGCCGTGGGGCGTGGATGCCGACACAATTCTGGGGAAGACATTTCCTCCCTTTGTCAAGAGACAGTTGACGATCACGCGTCGGCACAACCGAAGCACAAAAAGAAGCGTTACCCGCAACGGGCATACTGCTATTTGACTCGCTGTCAGGCACTTTTTTTTGGCACGTTGGAAGCCGTCTCTGTACCACTGTTTCGTATCCAGCTTGCAATCGTGTAACAGAAGCCTCCCGTTGGACTCCAGAAGGGAAGCCAATTACCCAATATGCCAACTATTGGCGGGTGCCGCTTGAACATCCCGACAGCTTTGCGCGATGCTCGATCAGATGTCAGTGCCGTGTCCACTCTTGCGCTAGCAATTTCGTCTGGCGTTGCGCTGGTCTCTGGTTCTCCCGTGCTAGATGCATCTGAAAGTCTGAGAATGTTGGGCCGATGCCAGTCTGTCTGTCTTGGCCCTGGGATCTCCTTTGGTCGAGACTCTTGTATCCCTGCATGGATCGACGCTGCATTTTGATTACATACACGATCCCGAGGCACGGTCACCATATACTACACTCAAGGCCTTCTCAAGTGCCGCGATTGTTCGTCCTTTGTTCCTTCGGGTGTGGAGGGTACTGCACAAAGAAGATTAGGAAGCTTTTCGCAGGTGGGAGTGGGGATATAGGTCAGGCTTATGATTTGAGGCACCGCGTTTTCTTCTCTAGCCTCATGGTGTTGTCCGTGTTGTGCTGAGGTTTCTCCGCAACATTCGATGAAACTTAGCAAGCCTGCCGTGCAAAAAGGCAAACATGAATCAGTACAGCCACAGAGCACAATGACTTGGCCTCTCTTCAGGTCGGCGAGCACCATAGCTTTTTGGAGTGGCTTTCAGAGAGAGAGGAGGGGGGGTAGTCTTATCCCACCGGCTGGCTTTTTCATCTTTGCGGCGAGCTCCTGTTCCTGATCCTGCTCCTTCACGGCAGGACCATGATGGCGATGTGTGGAAAACCCCCGAGAATCCAAAGGAGCAATCCTGACCTCCGGCACTACGGGACCTGCACAAAACCGTCGTGCCCGGAACAACCTCAAGCAAAGTCACCACGCAACGCATGGACGCGGGATCCACTGCCACGAGGTCCGATTGTCTGTCCCGTCGATCCTTGGCTCCGCAGCCACAGACTGGGCTCATCGACCAGTAACACCCGTAGGAAAAGGGTATCACGGACTTTCTCCTGAAGGTTCGGCGGGAAGAGACCCCTGATCCATGACACAGCTGCATCTTTCCAGTCCCTCCATGCGCGTGTGAAGGCTTCATCTGCGTAAGGGTGTTGGGGGTTTCTTAGGTTGGGTTGTTGGAGAACGGCTTCGCGGAGCCGAGTAAAATAGGCCGGCTACGTCTACGTCTATTGTTGTTGACTCTCGAACCCGTTACCCGTACCCTCCTCCCCGGCCGGACTGTCTTGGTATACCTAGAGGGGCTTACTTCACTAGGAGTTGATAGGCCACGAACTAATTAACACACTAAGACCGGATGTGCCCAACTAGCCTTAGAGTTTGCCCTTGTCATTGGCTTTTCTTTCCCGGCTGCTTCCCCTGAAGAAGTGGTGCCTGCTCGGACGGGCAGCCCATGCTTCCGCTGCCTTATATCGTAGATGTCCTTCCCACGTTGGCCGGCCCCCCGATCATCCTAGATGACATGACAAACGTCTGTGGTTGTCCGTCAAAACATTTGAGGCAGATTCGTCCTGGTCACGGCGATCCCTTTTCTGTCCCTCTCCGCCTTTCCTTTCTCTACCGCCCTCTCGGAAATCATCACCAGCATCGTTCGCCATGAGACATTCATTACTGCTCGGCGTCGCAGTCGCCTTCTTTGGTGCCGTGCAGGGCTCTCTATTGGAGTTCGCGGCCAAGTTGCCCCAATGTGGGGTGGGTTTTCCCCCTTCCACTGCTCAGATTTATGAGACCTGACTGACATCATTCCCATCATCTAGCTGGAGTGTACACTCGAAAAGTTACCACTATCAGCGTGTAAGGTTCCGACAAACGATACTTGCATATGCAGTGATCATGACCTGCGGATGGCCGTGCAAACATGTCTCGTCCAGCGGTGCAAGAAGCTAGAAGCCATAGGTAAGGCTTTTCTATCAACTAATTACAGATGCAGAAGATGAACTGACAGCGAACAAAGACGTTGCAAGGATAGAAGCTGAAGCATGTCAACGTCCGGTTCGTGAGCGAAAGGTGGACATCATGGTGCCACTCATCCTTCAGATTACCGGGATCCTGGTGGTCCCGTTACGGTTATACGCGAGATGGACGACGATGCATCGATTCGAGGCCGACGACTGGATCATGATGTTCTGCGGCGTACGTTTCATCATTAATGCGTATTGAGTGGGCATATTCTGACAGACTATAGGCAATGTTTGTCGTTTTTGTCGTCGTCGGACAGCTTGGTAAGCCTAGTATCCGTCCGATCCTATGGTCCTTACTAACAGCCACACAGCCGGTCATGTTGCCTTTGGAGAAGACATCTGGATGGTCGAGCCAGATGAACTCACTTTAGGATTGAAGGTTAGAAGAAAAAAGCGCACACGAATGCCGTATCAGATTCTGACCTTTGCAGCTCTTCTTCATCGACGAAAGCATGTACCTCGCCTGCCTAGGCCTAACCAAGATCTCAGTACTCTTCTTCTACCTTAGGATATTTCCGAACAAGTCCTTCCGATGGGCAACGTACGCGACCATGACATACATCGTAATATCGACCACGGTGATTCTCTTCATGCAGATCTTCCAGTGCATCCCCATAGATTTCAACTGGGTTGGCTGGAAAGGCGACTACGGTCCGCACCACTGCCTGAACATCAATACACTAGTCTTTGTGGCTGCCGGGCTGAGCATCAGCCACGACCTCATTATTCTCGCCTTGCCTCTTCCGCTGCTGTGGCACCTCAACACTTCAAAACGCTCCAAGATAGGCATCCTGATCATGTTCAGTCTCGGCATCTTCGTCCTCATCACCTCATGCATCCGGCTCCGCTACATCGTCTCGTTCACGCAATCGCTCAACCCGACGTGGGACTTCACGGACCCCCTCATCTGGTCCGGTCTTGAGGCGTCCGTTTCCATGATTGTCGTGTGCCTCCCCGCGCTCCGGATTTTGCTGAAGCGCGGCTGGCCCAAGCTGTTTAGCACGATTGGCACCGCGGGGCCGCACTCGGCGCCGAAGAAGAATACCAACATGTCATCTCGGAAGGCATACGCCATGAAGGCGGCCGAAGACGGCGACGGAGACGGAGACGGAAACTACAACGCGATGAACGAAGGGGACGAAGAGGTCGCCGACGCAGAGTACGCCGCGAGCGAAGCGAGGGCCGCGAGGAAGATGGCTGAGAAGAGGAGCAAGTTCTTCTCGTTTCGGTCGACGACTGTGGAACCGAATGAGAGCGAGATCGAGCTGGAGCTGGGCGACAAGATGCGAGGCGAGGTGAGGACGCAGATCCAGTGCCATGATGGGGAGTCTGCTTCGAGGGGGAGCTCTATTGAATCTGGGATCCATGTGAGGACGACGACAACTATCCACGACGCAAATGGGAAGACATTTTGAGACGTCGGATGGGATGGGTGATTACGTATACACGAGCAGGTCTAGGGGGTTCGGTTTTTTTGCATTGTTTTCGCTCTGGAAACTACAGTACTTTGGAGACGGATGATACCATTGCATCGCAAGGCGTTGGATTTACTCAAGGGGAATTCTCTACAAGAATACATGTACGGATATAGTCAAAGAAAAGTAATATCATGGTTAATTATTATTGGATCTCGATACCTTGTCCGGTGAGCAAGTTTTGATCGATTGTAACAATATAGATGTCTCAAGCGCAAGAGGAGAAGGTGTATCGATTGAAGACCGACTCGAGTCCGACGATTGGACGACGATCTACTTGCCAAGAAAGGCGTTCGTTCATCCGGGGTCTCCCATAATTCACAAGTAGGGCTTGTTTCATCAATTCAACGTCTCTCTGAACTGCGCGCGGGCCGCTGACAAGGATGAATCTGGTCCAAAGTACGTGTACGTAAAATAGCTCATAACGTGCCCAAAGATTCTCGTCCCAACAATGGCCTGATTCCATCAAGATTTCGTAAGAGGGAATGGGGATTGGTCGATAAGTTGGGGAATGATCCGGCTCCGCGTACGAGTTTTGGCCGTTCGGCGGAGTGACCTGTGATCGGGGGGAGAAGGCGGGGAGAAAGATGCAGAGAAGAAGTCTGTTTGCCATTGCCGTTGCACAAGCATGTTTTCTGCGTCTCATATGACGGGACGTATGAGACGCCGGAGATATCTTGAAGGGCTCGGCTCGGAGGGATGAGGTGATGTGTCGTTGGGTAGCCCAGCTTATCTTACGGCACCGAAGACTGATCGTTGGGCAGTGACAGAGGGATTCTTGGTTTGAGAGCAGCTACACGATGATCACTGCAACATCACGAATTGAGGGGTCAGCCGCTGAGATGAGCAAGTTTGGCTCAGCTTTGCGGCACCTTTGTGACCATCTCTTCCCATGTTGGTCAGATACTTGGTGACTTCCCCTAAATTCGACGATGAAGTGATGTGAGTATGATGTACATGATATACGCAGATAGATGATTCGTAATGTCAAATCAGAAAAGGGAGTGAGAGGGTGACTCCCTCACCTCGAAATAATCCCAATGACTGTGAACTTTCTATTCTCAATTCTTCACTGTTAGATGTAGATGAGGACGAATCATCGACAGTCTTGATGAAGTGAGGCTATTTAATGATCTTCAGTCCAGGAAAACACATTGCTGTGATTGCGAGGCGTGGATCGACTTTTCGTTGAGCCCCTCGGTCACACGCATCTAGTTAAGAGTGTGACTCGACAGATGGGGCTAAAGTACCTAAGTCTTGTTGCTGGTATGGCAGTGACCTTCTGAGACCTTCTGATATCAGAAGAATCCCATGGTGATCATGCTAAGCCGCGGTCCCTTTTGATACCCCACTGATGCGCACGACAAAGCTCATAGAGTACGTTTAAAATGGGCGTTGCTACAGATCGCTTGTGTGCCTCTCGGCAGATTTCACCAAGAATATTTTCGTGCTCAATCAGGTTTCCCTAGAGAGTATCAGTGGATATGGCCGTACCAAGTCAAGCTCATGGGTGGAGGGGAAAGTGGAGGAGTCATACCTTATCGAAATCAACTTGCATGCTGGGTTCGATATTCTCATCGATTGGATTCATCTCTATAGCCTGTTTCATGGCGCTTGACGGGATGTTGTGACCTGTAGCCGCAGCTACTGCGATTACTTCTTTCATGGCCGGTTCGACCAAAGAGTTCATCGAAGCATCCGCCGTCCGTAGCTGGCTAGCGTTCACCCTCGTTAAAGCACAGATGGGGTTGAAGGAAGCATTGTAGACGAGTTTGCTCCACCGGTCGAGGTCGACCTGTGGCTTATAGAGACATGTCGTCTTACCTCCGGCACTATACATCTCGATGAAGCGTCTGGCGGCGTGTTGCTGTTCTTCCAGGTCGATGTTGGCGTTGTGAAAAGCGCCGATGTGGAGGAGATCGGGCTGCTTCTGTTCGATGACACCTGGTGAATGCTCGTGCGCGTCGATTCGGCTCACTCCAGAGAGAACAATGGTTGCAGGGAAGCGCTTGAAGAAGGGAAACTGAATATTAATGCCGTTTTGGATGAGTACGATGACTGTTCGGCCTGGGACAACGGCTGGAGCGATGACGTCTGGCAGGCTTGGACCGGCGTCTGGGACGTTTTTGGTGCAGCAAACGACGTAGTCAAAAACGCTATCAGAGCCCGAGTCTGTTGATGCCGGGACGCTATTCAAGACTAAGCACATCGCGACTGCCATGAGCGACATGGTGAGAAGGAAACCAGGTTAGTGGAACTGACCTTCGGTAGGTCGCCAACCTTCTTTGTCGCCGTGTTCGCAAGAATTTATCCTGAATCCATTGCGCTTCACGACATCGAAGTTGGAGCGGAGGACTGCGGAGACCTGAGCCAATCCTCCGGCTTCGATGTTGAGAGCGGCGATCGTGCCGATGCCCCCACATCCGACAAGGAGGACGCGTGCTTTGCCGGATGTCATTTTGAAGACGGTGACCCTGCGTGTGCTTGGAGGCTATTCCAAAGTTTCTTAAGAAGAATCTGTGAATGAATCCTTCTTCTGGACAACCGCCAGGCAATATTATCCCCGGCAGCAACGGCATATTTGAACGGGGCCAGATCCGGGACCGGACCGGCTTTTGGCTGACTGTTACCCCGCACCCCACCATACAGACCCATAATTAGACCCGGACCGGCTCCAAGGCGCTCGGCGGCTTCATCCGAAGCGCAGGGGCTTCTTTACTTATCACTCCTCTTGCGCTGGCAGTACGGTTTCAGTAAGACATACAGTCATCTCTCCTACTTTGTGTTTTTTTCTTAGTACTAAAACGAGCATCTTCGCCATCTACAAGTCTGCGATGCGAGATGCTATGGGCAGTATGCGTACCTAGTAGCTTTCAAGCACCTAGGATCTGGTCAGGATATGCTAACGATATATTCAACACGAGTCACCGTTGTTACTCTGGTACAAGTCCGGACCGTTGCCTCTCATCGTCTACTTGAGACATTGATACCATTCAAAGCAGTGATGCCGGTGACGTGGCCCACACACTCGGAACACAATGCTTTCTTGAGGTTCCGAGAGTGAGGCACAAAATCGGTGTTCGTGTCTGAGTGCTGGCCTGAAACCTGTGAACGTGTTCAGTCCATTCCAGCGCCCCTGTCGTCGGCCATCCCACAAGACCATATGGTTTGACAGCTGTCAGGGCGACGGCACCGCTTTCTTCTCTTTCTCTCGGTTCCAAGTTATCGGTCCAACCTTGACGTTGCATTGGGTCATCGCTGCTTCTTCAAAAGAAGAAAATCCTGAAGCCCAAGTCCGTGGGGGACCATGCACATTTACAGCTGACACAAGGCGGAGAAGTGAACACCGAACCACTTCTGCGAAGGACAAGGATCGCACAGACCATTAGCCGCAATTTTGTTGGTTCTGGCCGTTTTTTTCAATGTTTCTTCTTCCAACTCAACGACCAACCTCACAGGCCCCTTTTCCTAAAACCTACGGTTGTCCCCCCGAGTCTGCCGCACTCACCCCAATTCTCTCGACCGGAGCATTTCGATTTCGCTTTTTAAGCTTCCTCTCAAACCTAGTGTGCGATCTAGAATCCAGGAACCCGCAGAGGAACAAACCTTGACCCATCGCATCAATACCAATAAGCGCATCTACTCATCGGAACTCTCTTTTAAACCGCACGCCAAGTCCGTCTCCCACTTACCGGCACCCAATCAGGAATTTGAAGCAATGGCACGCCAGGGCAATGTAAAAACGGCCTCCTCAGGCTCGGCCGCGGCGATGGGCTCATCCTCCACGGATCCCACGTCCGCACCCGCCCCGCGCGACCGCATTATGACGCACATGAACCGCGACCACCAGCGCGAGCTATCCCTTTACCTGCGCCACTACGCCGGCCTCAGCCGCTCCGCCGCCTCGTCGCCGTGGCTCAAGGACTGTACTTTCGAAGGCATGACCATCGCGGCTGGCGGGCTCGGCGGCAAGGAGTTCTTTATCGAGTTCAAGCCGGCTCTCACGGCGTGGGAGGACGTGCGGCCCGCCGTCGTGGAGATGGCGCGCGCGTCGCAGCAGGCGCTGGGGTACAGCGACATCACCGTCGGACACTTTGCGCCGCCGCAGGGCTTTGACGTGGTTGTGTTCGGGGCCGTTGCGTTCTACTTTGTCTGCTGGCTCACGCTTGGGTTTGTGCTGCCCGGCACGCCGATCTGGTCCTTCCTCCAGACCGCGTTCCCCGGCGGCCCAAGGTTCTATCGGTGGTTGGTCAAGGCCATATTTCTGCCCGTGTTGGGAATCCACCTGAGCGAGTGCTATTGGTTCCATCGCACGAGGCTTCAGAGGCATGGCATCGAGTTTGGAACGGGCTTGTGGTGGACGTGGATCGGAAGTCTGTTCTTTGAGGGACTTCCCGGCTTCTGGAGGTTCGATGGCATTGTCGCGGCCAAGAGGCAGGAGAAGGAGAGCAAGAGCCACTGAGTTTCTTTGGGGAATCATATGGAATAGGCTTTTCTTGGGCGATGACAGATCCTCCGGGTGCGATGAGGAAGCATACGGCGCTCGACTCGCGAGATGATGAGAGAGGTTGACATAGCAAATCGGTATGACCGCTAGCACCTCAACAGTTGCGGTCAGCAGCAGATCCATGAAAATTGGCAGGGTGAGCGGTGGAAGAAAGGACGTTCTGTCTCGAAATCAGCTATCTCTATTGATGAACGTAATGTTAATTGATGAGGACCCCCGAAAGACCCTTGGCTGTTACGAAGTGAGAAATCATCGGAGAGGCATGTGTTTCCGGACACAATCTATTCATTATCAAATTATCGTGTTTGCACAAACATGGCGGCTGTGAAGGTGTAAAGATGATTTGAAATTGCTCGCTTCCCGATGAGATGGTAATGTTGAACGGCACAGTTGTGAGAAATTAACGATGAATGCTCAAAAGCTGATCTCATGTTGAAACTCATGATGAATGATGAGATCGGATAAGGCACGTTGGGATTGAAGGGCCGAAATGAGAAGGACCGCACCGACGAGTGAGCTGTTTGCTCTTTCCACACCATTTCGCCCTCGCTTAGCATGGTAGACCCACTCTGGCCGGCGCCAAAGTACCTGAGGTTGCTTTCCCCCGCGATCCCATCGTGGACCTCGCTTCCGTCCACCGTCCACATCTTCGTTGCCGATACCTATCCTGTCGTCTTCAGCATCACTACGCTCAACGGCGTTGGACAATGTCACCGTACATGCGGATAACATGTCGATCAACGCTAGCTGATGCCACGTCGTCTGTATCCTAGAATGCACAACTTGCCGTCCTCCGAAGGGATGGCAGCGCCTCATTGAACGCCTCGGAAAGCCTTGCCGTCCACCTGGCTTCTGATAGCCCCGCCGTGCACTTCTACGAGACAAACAACGCCATTTCTGGGCGTTGAAGAAGTTCTCTTCGATAATATCTCACTTTCCTAATCGGACGTTTGTTGCGAGTTCTGATGGTGGCTGCGGCAAACCTCTCCGCAAGATTAGCGACCTTCAACAATGCTACGCTTCCGAACCATCAGCTCGTTTGCTTCCAGCAACAAAGTATCCCCGGATCTGGCTTCTCTTCCTAATAGCAAACATCACCTATAAGCTGTCCAATCGCAACTTGTATGCATATATCTTGGCACTACCCAATATCTTCTCCGCGATCGCCTGCAGACCGCGGACCGGGGCCTCGGCCTACAAGATCGACATGGTCGAGCTTTCGGGACCAGGGGTGTGGCGCATGGCCAACTCTCCACTACGTACTGTCACTGTCAACACCACCATCATCGGGAACTTGTGGACAAATATATCTCACCACTCCTTTCAGTGTCGGCAGTTGAGCAACTCCAAGCATTGTTCGGCCAAACATCGAACGACATGGATTTGCTAAGCAAAGCATTGCGCTGAAAGAGAGGGTCTGGACCATCTGAGATCATCTTGCTCCCGGAAATATGCGCTCATACAATATCGAAATCCTTATCATCGGCGATCTGAAATGCGCATTTCAGGAGATGAGAGAGGCACAGGACAATCCGCAAGAGTTCGAGGAGCAAACAAGACGAAGGACTGCGATGACAGAAGATCATTCTCAGAGGTATACCACACAGCTGGCCAAGTGTTGCCGCCCTGTGCAGTACACATCACAAACATGATAGTAACTTCAGTCTCCAGGTGCTCGTGGTGACAATACCTTCCAGGCCTTGACACGGTACGGGAACTTGCCGCCCCGCGTAGAGCATCCGAGCTTCGCAATCCATCGCGGGGAACCCGATCTCAAATCACCCTAACCTCACAACGGTGAGGGGCAACCGGCGTTAGCCTCAGAAGCTCTCTATAGTTTGCAGGCGGAACCTTGAGAGTTTGTCTTTGACCATTCCCTAGCGCAGCCGAGGTGCGCCAATACTGCAACGTCGAGTCTGCTGCTCTTCTTCCACCATACGGTCTAGGCGTCATTAAATCTGGCAAACTCGTCTATCTGGATCATCTTGAATGCCCTTACAGCCCTTACAGACTGTTCTCTTACCAAGAAACCAGGGCGCTAACAAGGCTAACACCGTACCCGCGCTATTTCTTTCTCACCCATCAGACTCTAGAGACAGACGCGTGGCCCATCATTTAGGAGGTGCGGTAATCTTATCCAGCGGCACTATCAGTCTGGTCTCTGAGAGGACATCGATTTCCACTGGCTGTAAACCATCTTATTTGTGCTTTACAGCCTCGTTGTGCCTTTCGTCTGTTCTCAAGTTGAACTCAATTCGACACTACAATGCAGTAACATGACGCCTATACGGGCAAGACGGGGCACCATTTCTAGATTTGAAGCGACGTACGTTATTCGATGCTCGGTTTCGGGACTCACGCTTGGTCCACGACCGCTTTCGCTCCTCGAGCGCGGGACGCTCCGTCTCTGGCTTTACTGCGCCCTCGCTCACTGCATTGACGTTGAGAAAGTCTAATGACATCAATGTTTGGCTAGCTTTTCCAACCACACAAACCGGCGTCGGCACGTGTGTCTTGCTGAATACGCCCAGCCCGGCAGCGGTTCATTCGAGGGAGGTGTAGCACTAGTCTCCAAGGCAAGGTAAATATCTCCCGTTTGCTGCAGTATTGCGCCATCAGCAAACCTACTCTTCGCGACGAACCCTCTCTTGGGAATGGTATGGAAATTGGTTGTACAGACTATGAGGGAACAACCAATCGATACGGACATCAATCAACTGGCGCTGCCAACTCACTGACTTATGAGAAGGCCCTAAAAGGCGGCATGGCAAGTCATGGCACTGCCGCGCCGACCTAGCGACCCCGCTCCACTAGCTTTCGGTTACCTTGTGCCCGCTAGGTTCACCGTTGCTGAGGACCCTCCGTGCATACGATGGAGTTTGTCTCACTGCTCAGCAGTCTGTCAGTCAGCCTTCAGGCAAGCTGGGCTTCTAAATGGTTTTCGAGGTGCATATGCGGCTGTCAATGTGCATTTGATGGCTGCAAGTATCTCAAAGGAAAACGAAAATTTTCTCCATTGTGGGCTTCAAGGTTGGATTTGGGAGTTGCTAGAAGAATTGAGAGGGGCAAGCAAGGCTCCCTAATTCGGATAGTGTTGCGAACTTACCCACAACCCGACTAACCCCGGCCGCCTCGATAGACTAGTCGACTTAATGTTACTGAGGCTCTATCGGAGGAATCCCACGAACTGGCCTGCCATCCGCACCTTTGCCCGGCCACGACGTCCGTATGGACAGGGTTCCCTGCAGCAAACAGGTGAGTGGTCGACGCGAGTCCCGCCCATCTTCCAGGACTCCAACTGGCAAGCGGGCTAGTTATCCGGGGTACCCTTCGTGAGAATGGGACGATTGAGGAGGGCATCGCGCATTCTTGGGAGCGGCCCAAGGCAATCGGCGAGCTGGGGATCGTCCCCTCGGCAAGCATGGTCCACAATGGCTTCAGCAAAGTTCGTTGACATAAAGACGAGGTCAAGGTCCCCTCCTGTTGCGAGCCCAGCAAGGCGATCCTCTTAATAGCGCCTATCCGCAGCTTCAGACTCGGTCTCCTGCTTCTGCCACGCCCACCTCTCTTCACCTCACCTCAGGTCTCTAGTCTATCGTTAGTTGAGCTCTCTCAACCTCAACATCACCATGAGAGCCCAAAGCATCATCAACAATGTCCTGAGGGCAGTGGTCACCGCCTCCAGTCTAGTTGCTGCCAAGCCGGTCCTCCCTCGCTGGACTGTTGGACAGTCGGTGACGACTTCCAGCGGCCCCGTTGCAGGGCATGTTGCTGCTGGTGTCGAACAGGCAAGTATAGCTGCGTTGGAAATGATGGGCCTCGACTAACAAAGAGATGTCTTAGGTATCCGAATATTTGGGCATTCCGTACGCTCAGCCGCCTGTTGGGCCCTTGCGCTTCCAGCCTCCCGTCAAGTTTACCGGTGCTTCTCCTATCAATGGCTCAGACTTTGTAAGCCTTCCCGAAAAATTTGACAATATTACTTCAAAGGCTCAAAAATGATATCTCGTCAACGTTATACTGATGCATCTGAACAGGGACACCAATGCATGCAGCCGGCGAACGCACCCACTAGTCTGGAAGCTATCTTGAAGCTCGGTATTCCCGCTTCGGCCGTTGAAGTGACCAAAGCGTTGGGTGACACGGGCTCTCAGAGCGAAGATTGCCTGACCTTGAATGTGTGGACCAAGCCACAAACCGGCGATTCGAAAAAGGCTGTCATGGTCTGGGTTCACGGGGGCGCTTTCACCACAGGTACAAGTGCCTTCGTCTGAACAAATCAAGAAAGCATGCACGGTATACTGACTCGGGTTGCAGGAAGTTCCCGTATCCCAGCGTACAACGGAAAGTTCATTGCAGACCAGAATGACGTGGTGGTCGTGTCCATGAAGTGAGTAGTCAACGGAGGCTCGGGGAAACAGGTATCGTCAATGCTAACTCGGGTCAACCTTGAAGTTACCGCCTCAACCTCTTCGGATTTCCAGGCAACCCGGTCACCGCCCCGAATCTTGGATTCCTCGACATTCGCCTGGCGATGGAATGGGTCCGCGATAATGTGGAGAAATTCGGCGGCGACGTCAACAGAATCACCATCTTTGGGCAATCTGCCGGGGGTTCCTTGGTCGACTACTACTCTTACGCATACGCGTCCGACCCCATCGCCAGCGGTTTCATCCCCATGAGTGGCACGGCTACCGGATTCGGTATCTTCACCAACCAGACTGTGAACGCGAAATGGTTCAACGTCACGTCAGCGGTCGGCTGCGGTAACAACTTGACCGACCCCAAGGTGGTCTCTGACTGCATGCTCAGCAAGCCCGCCACGGATCTCCTCACCGGCCTTTCTTCGCAAGATGCCGGTATCGCTTCCGCCGGAGGGCTCTCTTTTGCTCCTGTGGTAGATGATCGTCTTATTTTTGCCGACTACAGCATCCGCGACTCGGCCAACGCAGGGTATCTCATCGGCAACACTGAAAACGAGGCTGGGCTCTTCAAGATCGGAGCCCCTGACCTCAATGAGACATATTGGTTTGGTTTCAACCTTGTCGCTTTCAGCTGTCCCGCTGCCAGAAGAGCCGCGCGGGCCGTCTCTGCGGGCCATCCGACATGGAGATACCGTTATTTCGGCGACTTCCCTAACCTTGCTCTTACAACGACGCCGCCCAGTGGAGCATGGCACGCATCCGAGGTTCGTCATACTTTCTTTTTCCGTCAATACTCTTGGCTTGAGACATGTTAGCTGACATCGCTTAATTAGCTGCCTGTTCTCTTTGACACCGTGCCCCAGGCGGCAATCAACAGCACAGCGCAGGAGAATGCCGTGGGCAAGTACATGCGTGGTGCGTGGGCAGCTTTCGCAAAGGACCCAGTGTCTGGTCTCCTCAACTACAACTGCCACGGCACGTGGCCCAACTACCAGGCCGACGGTAACACTCTGAACCGAATCTCATTCCAGAACCAGACGGGTGCCGATTTGGCTCAGGGTGCCGATTTGGCTCAGGGTGCCGATTTGGCTCAGGGTGACGCTTATGACGGCTTCTGCGCGCAAGTAGGAGTTCCCGTTGCTTGAGGACTCTGAAAGACGCTCTCTACAGGAAGCACGAAAAGTAATGAACTCATATGAAGCCGCAATTTCCTACCATTTACAAGATACTATTTTTAATATACCCAAAAGCATTTTCTTCTCTCATATATCGCGTCCAATGACTCTAACCGAACCATGTTGCGCGTTCCATTGACCTTGCAAAGCCGCTTTCGGATTCCTGAGGAAATCTCACTCTCATGCGTAAATCATTGGCGATACAATGACTACTTTTTGCAACCATAAGCAGTCTCCGTTTACTCATCAAACTAAAACTAGGCTCTCGTATATGTAATCTGGTTTCAGATCCCTCGAGCGATCTTCAAGATTCCGATAACCAGTCGCCAAGAATATATTCCAATTCGGACCTGCAGGGCGCCCTGGGATATGACGAGTTAGTGAACCCAACTGGAAATGAAGCGGGCAGGGGCGATGGTTAGGGGTAGCAACCACTGAAGGGGTACGTACATACCCTGATTCCTGAGGACAAAAGGCCCGAAAAGCTGGCTGTGCACGCTCCAAACTCTAATTGGACTTCTTGTACGACTCCCGTCCCGAACATCGTCTCTTTTCTTCTCCGTCTCAACTCCCATCCATCCTCTCTACAACCGTCATCCTGGGTTTCCATCATCTCTGATTCCAAAAACAACTCCTCGAGGGATTTGAAATCGTTCAAAAGGCAAAACACGAATGCCGAACCGAAGCCCCGGAAAGTCTCCCCGTTATCGGCAGAACAGGCAAGAAGCCCGTGTTCCTCGCTACCGGCTCCTTTGCTCAGCCTGCTTGAGTTGCTGCAACAATGCGGCCACCGGCTGCATCTTATCGCTCTCTTCAGCTGCCGAGTCGCTGCCGCTAGCCACCGCCTCTCACGTGTTCATCGTGTCCGGTTCCCTGCCGACGAGGTACCTCGCCGACCTGACGCCGTCCGTCCGCTCCATCGACGGTTCGCAATGCAGTTAGCCCCTTCGACTGCAGTCCGTATCTCTCCGACGATCGTTGGCTCCTACATTGCCGCAAATGAACCCCTCATTTGCCTGACGTGGCATGATTTGAACCATACCTTTCACCGGAAATGTTCGTGGTCGGGCGAGCGAGTTAAGGGGACGCGGACGCAATTGCAACGATCGGCCATTGCCGACTGATGTTGTCTTGGGTGACTTTGCCCGATCGAGTACCGTCGGCGATTCTGGTGCTTCGAACTGTTCACCATTGGGTCAATTGAGGTGGTTCACTGGGTAATTGTAAGTACTTACGGTGCTTCCCGTTTATGCCGTTGGTGGCTGTTTCTCTCGTGCGTAGGGAGTCAATTGGGTTGGTTGGACGGACACTGAACCAACAGCAAATCCATAATAAAGGAGCCATCCTCGACGGCCTAGGCGTCGCATTGATAATGGTCTTCTTACACGGCTTCGAGCGAAGACCTCTTTCGCGCGCAATTGAGTAGTCTCAATCGTGTGCGAACCATCAGCGAAATTGTATACGGACACGCATGCGCGACACTGCGTACTCCACTGCATGGGATAGAATGACGGACAGCTCCCCAGTTCCACCCCAGATGATGAGATCTCGCGTCTCTCGTGGTTTTCTGGGGCGTCCAATAGGCTTATCAAGCCATCACCTCCGCTCTGCATTTGCCATTGGACTCTGCAGAGTGAGGCGGCATCTCTTGAGACACGCGCCCCCTCTTCGACTACTCTCAAAGATGTTGTTCGCAAATGCGCGCACGATTGCGAGCGTGGGGTCAAGAAGTGGGGTCGTGTAAGCAGCGAAGTCTGAGGGAGATATAATGACACCAAGTTGCCTTGAAGCCTGGAGTTGTTTTCGCTTGAACATCATCGAACAACGCCAATTCGCAACTGAGCACTCTATTCCTCACTTTCCAAATTACCTGTTTGTTCCAGGCAGCACAATTTCAACTTTGAGAAAAGAGCAGGATGTTCCAACCCCAGTGTTAGCGTGCACTCTCTTACCCGTACGAGGAAATGCTCGCCGTCTCAAGACCAACCCCCTATACTAGACCTTCCTATCTGAACTCTTTTCCTCGATACCACCGCAGATCATCGAAGAAGAAGCCCTTCGTCGATTTTACCTGCTTGTTTTCCCGGTTCAAGGCTCTTCACAATAGCCGGCCGGGCAACTTCTCACCGGACATGCCTAAGAAACACGAAACCCCTTCCTCCAAATCACCCAAGTCCTCAAGCACTCGAGACAACTCAGACCTTGTAGTGAGACAAGTATCAGTGAGTACTCACTCCTCTGTTCCGCTGATTTGACGACCAGTCACTCACATAGTCAGGGAACACACAGCAACAGACCCTCTTCCCCAACTGAAGGCAGCGGGGGAGGAAGTGAGGTCCACAGCGCCTCTCAAAGGTAGCCCACCTAATGCGTTGGACTTGGTGGTATGTTGACATTTAGCGCGCAGATCATCGCCATCATCAACTTCTCAATCCCACAGACCCACGGTAGCAGATCGGCCTACTCGCAACACCGACTCGGGAACGGGCCGCAGTCGTACAAGTCCCGTACCCGCCGCATACATCGACAACTACCTGTCTTACCGCAAGAAAGCATTCATCAAGATCTTTATGGAGAAGTTCGGCGAATGGCTCGACGATAACCTCTGTTCTAGCGAGGAGGCTTACGACCATGAAGGGGATTGTCAGCCTGGCTCAACGTCATCTGACTCCGGCGGCGTCAAGGAAGGCACTATTTCAGGACGCCCTGTGACGGGTCGGAAGAGGCAGCTCAAGGGACGTAATCAAGAGGATGATGGAGGTTCGGAGAACGACGAGAGCAACGACCGGAACCGGAACAAGAAGCGCACCAAGACAGACGAAGATGATAACCGTCAAAAGTTCGCGTGTCCTTTCTACAAGCACGATCCTGCCAGATACAAGAGCCACCGTACATGTGTTGGGCCCGGCTGGCACGGGATCCATCGGATGAAGTGAGTTTGATACTACCTCATGATACTGAGCCAGCTGTTGGAGTTATTACTGATAAAAATGAAGGGAGCATATCTACCGAGCGCATCGCCTTTTCACCTGCATCAGGTGTTTCGATGCCTTCAAGAGCGAAGCTCTGCTTCAAGAGCATCAAAGAGCAGCCGTAAACTGTCCTGTACGCGACAAGAAGACGCGCAAGCTAGACCCAGGCGCCGGAATAGACCAGGAGACGGAGAAGCATCTCCGAGCACGTACCACCAGTAAGAAGACTGATTTCGACAAGTGGTACGAAGTATACTATATTCTGTTCCCTGGAACGCAAGACGCGGAGAATCCTCCAAGTCCTTGTAAGTTGAGGCCTCCATCTTAGAATAGAAACAAGGCAAGAAAAAAAAAAGCGTTCAAATTGTTGACCTGGGGTAACAGGGTACGACGAAGTGGCCGGCGAATCCAACTCTGAAGACTTGAAGCGCCAGTACGTTAGGTTCTTGCGACGTGAGATGCCCAACATGATTCAACGCAATCTCGAGAATGAGCTGAACCGCCATTTCGAGGGTTTCGAGGAAGGTATCATGAACCGCATCGTGGGCTGGATCCGGATCTCTTCGGCCAAATGCGCCGACATCTTTGAGAACATTCCCTCGCCCTCGCAAGCGGCGGCCCTGGGTGACCCAGAAACTGCGCGGCCCGAGTCTCGGGCGACTTCGCCAGTGGACCCTGGAACCAACTCAACCGTTGGCGCCAGTGTCTTGGAGGGCATGGAGCCATGGACGTTTGGATATCCCGAATTCGATCTGCACACCTTTCCCAGCTTTGACCAGTACTTCACCCCCCCAGGCTTCCTATCATCAGACGACCAGTGCCACACAGACCCTGACTCGGCCTATGGCACTGGCAGTCTTGAGGACTCTTCTAGAGTTCGACAGAATCACAGCTGAGAACAAGCGTAAAACCTTAGTCGCAGCAGATGTTAGTTTCTCTTGGCACCTATACGTTATCATTCCATTATCATTGTCATTGGGAGCTGTGGCACTTTGCTAAAACACAGTCCATTTCGAAACCATCGAACCTCGTTCTTTACACACCGCTCCTTTCCCGCTATGTTTAATGGCCACAACTATTTCTTTTGTGCTTGTTCTATATTGTCATATGCTTGATAGTGTTGGAAATGTGTAGGAAGAGGTTGTACATTTATGTTGAACTGGATACTTGGTTTCCTTCTGTCAGGCTGCCATTGAATTGCTGGTTGTCCTCATTTCGAGTTATTATCTCTAGTACAGTGGTCTTCTAGGCCAATACCACTCTTTACTATCGTCTAATGCTCTACATACGATCTATCTAAGGGAACCGAATGACGACCTTGTTTTCCAAGTGATCGCTGTAACGACGGTAATACTCCGGCGCATCCTCAATGCCGATTTCAGCCGTCACCACAAAGCTAGGCTTAGCAACGCCAGAAGAAATCAAGTCCAACAAGGGGGGAGCCCTTAGCAAGGGCAAGACAATACCCGTTCCGACGGACAAGCCCTTCCTCCATAGCGATGCCATAGGGATAGGAATCTCCGCGGGTAGGTTCCCGGCATTGGGCGCTCCTTCGGTGCTGTTTCCGCCGCCGTTGTACACACCGCCGATACCCATGCCTCCGTACACGGCGGTCACAGCAACCATGTTCTCCAGCACGATGCCGTTGTGCGGACCTCCCGTGGCGTTGACGGACTCGAAGCCCACGCAGTCGAGGCTGCGCGTCACGCCGGCGGGCTCACGGCTGAGTATCGCCTCCACGGGGTCTTGTTGGGAAAAGTCGATGGGGATGGCGCCCAAGGATCCGGCTTGCTCGAGGCGGCTGGCGATGCGGTCGACGACGTAGACCCTGGAGGCGCCGCGAAGCTTGGCAGAGTAGGCGGCTAGGAGGCCGACAGGGCCGGCGCCGAAGATGGCGACTGTGTCGCCGGGTTGGAAGCCTGAGTAGGAGAGGACGTGCCAGCCTGTTATGAAGACGTCTGAGATCATGAGGTAGTCTAGCTCGGATGTGGTATTTGTTGAGGTTAGTGGGATTGGGATGAGGGATGTGTCGGCGTGGGGCACCCTGGCGTACTCGGCTGGTACAGGATGAAAGATTGGGTCAGCTTGGGTTGTCTCTTACTCCGGAAGACGTCTATCCGTGCGGTCTCCGAACGGACTAATGATATAAAAACAGGGGAATAGAGGTGGGTATCTTCTGAAAGAAAACATACCTTGCAGTCCGCCATAGTTTGCGCTCCCAACGCCGAAGGATAGGGGGTGCGAGGGCCCCCAGTGCCCGTCGTCGGCGTTGTCTGGGATGATGACATAGTCGCCAACTTCAAGGCTCGAGACGGCGTCGCCGACGCTGGACACGTATCCGACGGCCTCGTGGCCGAAACCATAGGGCACGTTGGGCGAGCCGCCGAAGCCGTGGTACATGTGGAGGTCGGAGCCGCAGATGGCGGAGGAGGTGATGCGGACGACGACGTCTGTCTGGGTTGACGATGGTGGGGACGGGCATGTCGATTACGGAGACGTTGTAGGGTTGGCCGAACCAGGCTACTGCTCGCATTGTTGACATTGTTGCGTTTGTGATGTTGAAGGCCATGGTGCTGGTATAACTGAGGTGCTCGGGGGGTGGACGGTGTCTCTTTACTGTATGCGATAGCAGAGAGAAGCTCAGATGAGAACGAATACCGGGGTCAGAGCAAGATATTTTGTTGCACCTTTCTTCGATAGAGCAGTCAAGGAGAATATCGAGATGTAGCTTCTTATACTTTCTTGTTTCCATAGAGTCCGTCACTTCGGGATGATGCATACATGACATGATGATTCGTCTACATCAACATCTTTATGACGCTATCTCCATGAGTACCGTCATCACAGCGCTCTATAGTGGGAATCTGTATTCTCAGCCCAGCATATCTTGCAAGTGCGGCAGAACCGTCATCATGCAAGAGCGGCCTGGTCCGGCTACAAGTAGGCGGTGATGACCGTACATACGTGCCGCGTATGCATGCATGCTGATCAGCCGAGGCGTTGATACCGATGCCCTGATTTTAGCAAAGCCTCCTACTCGGCTTCCTACTGCCATCAAGGAGTTTCGTAGGGCTGAAGTAAAAATTACCTGCCTGCAAAAAAGTTCCGGTCACACCCTTGTTAGTTGCTGACACGGGGTTAAGCATATCTCCTCAGGAACGGCAGGGCGCCGCTTACACCCAGCTGGACTTCTTCTGTAGCCGCCAATGAGAATGGGAAGAAGCCGGGATGGACCCGGTCTGGATTGGCTGATCATGTACGGGCTTAAGACTCTAGACAGTCTTTCTAGTCTGTCATCAAGACTTATTACTTGTACCACTGGCGAAGTATGACGAGAGCCAAGCCGATACCTCATAGCAGGATCTATTAGCACCCATTAGATGCGACTGAAAATCTTTAGCAGAGTTTTTAGACTTGCTTAGGCAATGTACGAATCTCGTTTAACTGTAATTTCCGCGTCGGTCTCGCCTTGATCTTTCCTGCGAAGTTCTAGATGACAGCGAACGGCACTCGGCCGGTGAACCCCTTGGTTCGGACGAGGGTATAGCTCTCTTAAGTAAGACTGTAAGGCCAAATTACTAATTAGGCAAGTGGTTTACATATAAGGAGATATACAGTCACAGTCGGACCGAAGCTCATCCCCCTTGGATGTTCCACAGCAATGCAGTGACAACGATAGGATCATCTGCGCATATTTCGGGGATGCCGATTGTCCGTCCTTTCTCTGCATTTAAAGAGTCCAGCAGTTCGAACTCTACATTTAACTTCTCCTTACAAACCACTCGTATCTCTTCAACTGTCAAAGAGTTGTTTCCTTTCTCTCAATCTCTTGGTTCCACCCCTCACACTCTCTATCAACGTCATTCTTGTGTGGAAAGTCCTTCGTCATGAAGCATGCCACGCTTGTTATAGGCCTCCTTTGTGGACTCGTGGCTGCAAAGCCTACCAAGTTCAACTCCTGGTCTGTTGGCCAGGCAGTTTCCACCACCAGCGGTCGTGTCGTCGGCCACGCTGCCCAGGACGTCCCCGATGTTTCTGAGTATCTCGGGATTCCGTTTGCCGCTGCACCTGTAGGCGCTCTGCGTTTCCAGCCTCCTGTTCCCTACAATGGCTCTGCGGTCATCAACGGATCAGCATTCGTAAGTCTAGTGACTATCTCGGGCATGTTTGCCCACCTCAACTTGGGAACGTTGAGTGTCTAACGTGCTGCGAAACAGAGCCCTGGCTGTATGCAACCGTCTGACACAGAGTATCCTCAAAGCGAGGACTGTTTGTCAGTCAATGTTTGGACCAAGCCGCAAGTGGGCGAGCGGAAGAAAGCCGTCCTTGTCTGGGTTCACGGAGGCGCTTACTCATATGGTTCGTGAAGTGTTTGAGTACCAAACGATGCAGGCATTGACTAACGCGAGTTACAGGAAGCGCAAGAGAGGACGGATACAGCGGTCGTTTCTTCGCAAACGATTCGGATGTGGTTCTGATGTCTATCAAGTAAGAAACGCTACTATAGTCGTCGGGAACAAGGACTCACGATGCTACATGTAGTTACCGTCTTGGAATCTTTGGATTCCCAGGCAATCCTGCCACAACTGCGAACCTGGGATTGCTGGACATGCGACTTGCCATGGAATGGATTCGCGACAATGCCCAGAAGTTTGGCGGTGATCCTAGCAGGATCTCCGTATTCGGCCAGTCCGCCGGCGCCGGAATGGCAGACTTTTACGCCTACGCCTACGCTTCGGATCCCATTGCCAACGGCTTCGTCCTTCAAAGCGCCACCGTCGTTGGCTTCCCCGCTCTTAGCAGGAACTACACGTCGACGCGGTGGTTTAGACTCGCGGCGGCCGTCGGCTGCGGCACTGGCGCAAGCAATTCCACTAACCCCAAGCTTGTCACGGACTGCATGAAGAATCGGACCACCGAGCAGATCTTTGGCGCGTTTGGGCCCGAGGAAACGGGCGTTGGCTCTACACCCGCTTTCGGGCCCGGCGTGGACGACATCCTCGTCTTTGAGGATTACACCGATCGTCGAGCTGCCGAGGCTGGGTACCTGATTGGCGACAATGCCAACGAGGCGGGACTCTTCCGTTCGATGCAGCCGAACAGGTCAGACGCGTATTGGAATGACTTCAACTTTAGGTACTACACCTGCGGTGACGCCATCAGGATCAGCCAGGCTGTGAACGATGGGATGTCCGCCTGGAGGTACCGGTATTTCGGAGACTTTCCCAACCTGGCCATCTCTACCAACCCGCCCAGCGGAGCCTATCACGGTGCCGAAGTGAGTGTTTAACCATGCTGCCCTGGACTCGTACATCGTGATGTTGACTATTGCCTTTCCTCTAGCTCCCGCCTCTTTTCGGCACGCTGCCTCAGACGCCACCCAGCACTGCAGTCGAGCTGGCGACTGCCGAGTTCCTTCAGGGGGCGTGGACGACCTTTGCTAAAGATACTTCCTCTGGCTTGCTTGGCTACGCTGGCGGATGGCCGATCTATGATCCCGCTGAGCTGACCCTTGCTCAAATTGCGCGTGACAACCAGACGGGGACAAATTTGGGTCTCGGGAACTCGTTCGATGGGATTTGCTCGTCTTTGCCGGCGATTCCTCCTTCCTAGACTTGTTGGTACGGTGTCAAGGTGCTCTGCCTGTCACACAGGATTCTAATATATGCCACTCTTACCTCAAGATTCTTGACATGTAGGCATACAGTCTGATACTTATATTTACTTCGACAATGAGCTAAATCTGAGGCTTTCTGTGAACGGCTACATGTCATAGAAAGTAAAAGGTTACGCTTTCGGGGTATTTTAAGGCTAGAGAAAATGCAAACCCTGTGTTGAGGAGTATAATCGCGGGCATCAGGCTGCATACAATCTGCTTGAACATCAATCGATAATGATAGATATGGGAGGATGTCTCTGTGCATGATCCTGAGGGTGTCTAGTCAACAATATGTCTCCAGCATAAACCACGCCCTTCTGCTTTATTCCACTAGTAGAAGCAACACATTGGCCAAAGGGTAGATAACGGTAATTAGTGTTACTTTCGGTTACTTGTTAATGGGCTATTGACTAATTAGAACTAGCAAAGTTCTGACAGGTCAGTTGATTTGTGACTACATTAATCCACATCACTAAGTACTATTCAATGTATGCACGAACCACTATTACTATTGCAAAAGTTCGGTATTATGGAGTAATGATCGATTTGTCAAGTACGCTCTGCAAGTCCCCATTGGTGAGCAGACACTAAACGCTCGTCTTGATACGACTGCAGACTTTAATGAGTATACCGTCTAATAATATGAGAGCATGAATTGAAATCATATGATGATGTCTTTAGAGGCTGGTGCTGTATTGTTCCAACGCGGACATCTCGTTCTACAAACCAATGCCAGGTGATCATCAAGAGAAAATGTAACAACTTGATCTTTGACGATATCTTCATTGAGATACGAATCCCGGTGAAGAGAGACACTCCGTCTGGGTACTACGAGGCTCTTGGAATCAGACTTTATGTATTCTATCTAGACCTTCATGCGATTATTATTGTCACGGTCGATCGCCATGCCAAATTTGTGGACGGTCCTTGATCTAAGTATCATCTGCTTGGACAACACTTTTCACATTCATGTTATCTATGAACATGAGAAACAACCGTTTGTTTACTTTCTTACTTGAGTTGGCATAAGGTCCGCCATGCTTCCTCACGAATTACGCCTGGACATCTTTTCTGGACCATACAACCCACGGTAAGGCAGGTAATGGGCAAATCAGTGAGCAGAAAACACTGAGATTGATAATCTGAATCCCGTAACGCCTGTCTCCTCTCTTCCTTCCTAGATGCCTTTCTCTTCTTTAGAAAAATACTGAGAGCCACAAATGTACCTCGCATGCAAGGTTCAACGATGGCAGCGGACACAAGGAACGTGGAATGTCAGTTGCGTTAAGGGTCAGCTCAATTCACCTGGCGGAGAGTCATCTTTGCTGACAGGTTCTGACAAATCACGGGCACATATAAATCAATAAATGGAGACCGCAATTGAGCAAAACTATATTACTGTTTGTTGTTGGATCTGTCTCAATATCTCAGGTAAAAGCTAAACTGTGCTACTGTTTGCTGTTGGGCATGTCTTAATACCTCAACTAAGAGTCACATGCTGTGACTTACGCCTCCTTGGACCGTTTGCTTTTACCACCAACATCACCACCTTGCCGTCGAAGCCGTCGTACACCTGGCGAACCCTTGACGGCTACCTAACTTGACCATGGAGAATCTACTCATTTTGATTCACGGCCAAATTTTGGAATGTCTAGATCGCGTGAGCAGCCAACAGAAGCAGCTAGCAGCTTAGCATCGATTTGAAGATCGCCGAGGGAACGTTGGGCTGATCAGATCCTACCCAGCCTCCCAATAACACTTCGTCCTGGTGTATGACCCCGCTTCGCGCGGCCTGCTCCGCTCCGCCACACCACCCTCAACTTGTAGACCCCGGCGCGATATTCCAGGAAATATCACTGGCCCGGATGGTTGCTCTGCAGGTCGTTCAAGAGCCTCGATTCTATTGGCGGAACTGCAAGAGCCGCCAGTTGCCATGTTTTTTTTTCACAGCTTGGCTTTCTGGAGAGTGGTTGCGCGTTCGTCAATTCATGCGGCACATCAGGTTATCATCTGTCTCCGAGGACTACTTCTTCGTGACGATTATTGGAATGCTCCCATGATCAAGACATTATCAATCACCGCCTCTTCAGTCCTCTGCATATGTCGGCAGTGGCCTGCAGCGACAATGCAAGCGTGTTGTTTGTCTGACGGAGAAAAAAGAAAAGTCTCCATTTTCGGCACATGCTGCGCCGCGAGTTGTTTTAATCAAAATTAATCTTGACTGATAACAAGATTACTCTTGCGCTAAATTCTCAGCTCGCCTACGCGTATGACAAGGCAAGCCACCACGACATGGCTCTTCCCGCCCGGGATGGCTGGCTAGGTGGAGAGATGAACGCTAGGCCCCCTTTGTGCAACGATATTCTAGAAGACCGCTCGTCAGCGCTCTCGCTCAAAAAGCCATGTGATCTCTCTCAATATGTGAAAGGGAGCCCCGAGCGCTTGGCACATCTTTCGAAACCCTAGTCGATCGGTGAAGGCCGTTGCCAGCGATGAAGATTTGAAGCCACAAGACTTTCAGTCCCAAGTAGCTGTTTAGCGCGGCGAGCTTTTCCACGACCGGACGTGAGACCCGTTAGTTACCCCCGGGGGAGGCTAAGGACGCACACTAGAGGGCATAAGCTCTTTTCTCCCCCCAGGTCGGGAGAATTAGCCTGCCCGTTGAAGCCAAGACGCCGGTTTCCTAGTATGTTTTGTGTGCCTGGAGCTTTGGCAATAGGCCGGCTGCGCTTATCGGGTGATGGCATTTCTTTTGGGGAAGCCATCTCCGGCACTTGCGAGGTCCTCGCCATCGCAGCATCACTGCTCTGTCGTCACCGGGTGATCACAGGGTGACGAGCCACTTTCTCGCCTATCGCCAGACTGTCCAATCCGTGTGCGTGCGGCTCGCTACCAGAAATTGAAGAAGAGGTCATGCGTCGGCCGAGGTAAGCGGTAAGCGGCATCGCATTGCTACGTAATTTGCGGGAAAGGAGCCTCTGGTTCCCTCTTTTGAGTATTTTCGCGTGGCGTCAGAGTTGGTCACCTTTGGCAGTTGGGGGAGACCCGAAGTTCCGCGCGATATCCATCATCTCCGCCGACCAACCCGTACTCCTGGAATCTCGCGACGGCACAACTTTTCCTAGTAAAAGGATCCACACGTATTCCGCTTAAGCCTGGGCCTTTTACTTTTACCCTTGGGCTCTCACACGTGGATCGTGCAAGTTTCGGCGGCCCTCTTGATCTCTCTCCTAACCGACGAAAACTCCTCGATCCTTTTTTTGCTTTGAGTTCATTGCGACTCTGTAATACTGTTGCTATCACCCTGTCCTCCTGATTTCTGGGCGCAAGTTTGTTGTTGAGAGCACGACCCCATCGGTGTTGCAACAGAAGCTTCCTTGAGCTCCATTACTTTGCAACGTTGAACCTTTCACGATTCAGTCAAATCAGCGGCCAAGCTCCCCTGGAAACGGCCGAGCATCCCGCATCCGAGGAAGGGAGTCCCGCTTTGGGCGGCATGTGGCCATTTCTATATAGACCCATTTTGAAAAATAAAGAGATAATACTACCGCGCGGGCTCACAGCCCAGCAAGGCCTCCGTTGCGGCGCTGCGGCATTGCGGCGTGCGGTCTGCCGCACCTATACTCATCACACCCGTCGTCGGAGAGAAAAACCAGGACAGAGTGACAGCGACGTATGGAAAAGGAAAGACGCAAGAAACAAAAAGAAAAATAGCACAGAAACGTACGAACAGGAAAACTCCCGACGCTCTTCTCCTCTTTTCCTGAGACTTGCGTTCCCACAAATCCACCGTCGACACATGTCACTGCTCACTACCGCCGTAAATTGTCCGATTCCCCGCCAAGGCCCAACCGTTGGACATTCGGCCGAATCACGAAGGCGGGAACGTGTCACACAACGGCCAACAGAGGGAGCATTCGGTCGGAGACAGACTCCAGTCTGGAAATCACATCGGGATTGCTTTTTTCTTTGGGGAGGTGTTGGAGGGGAGGCGTCACCAAGTGACACCAACGCCCAAAAAGCGGACGTGGCCCTCGGATCAAGTATAGATCATCCATCTACACTAGGACGTCGCCACGGAAGGGGGATTTTCTGATTGGTGTCCCATTGGCGCGGATTCTGGAACGTCCCCAGTCCAGTATTTAGTGACATTCAAAGTGTCAAAAGATGGGATGGTCCTACGGTACACTAACGGGACGGTGACAACCGCGTGCCCGCGATAGGGAGACATAACGGCTGAAGCGAACAATTCGTGCGACAATGACAGCTCGGGTACTACACGGGACTCGCTAGCAGCGTCGTTACCCGTCAGCCTGAACGAGAACGCCCGATTTCCATTTCTGGAACGACTGGAGCCTTTTGAAAACTTGAAAGAGGGATCACGGTGTCACATTCGACGTTTTGCTCGCTCTCTCAACTTCTGAACCGCACTTTTCACAGTCACTCCACGTGGCCGCACGGAAGTGTAGAGCCGGGATGTGGGAAAATTGTACCACGTATAGGAGCACTCAGTCACTTCGGCCCCCCCAAAGTGCAACCCAAGGTGGGTGAATTACGCCACAGTGCCCCTGTCCCCGAAATCGAGCGCCCAGACCTATCCATGCCCGTGTTGCTCTATGTTGCCATGCCTATGCCGGGTTCGAAGACGCACTTACGTGCATTTGGGAACACCCATCAGTGGTATCCCACTGGCTGGACTGCTCGCGGAATATCCGCTTCAGTCACAAGCAAGAAGAGAGATCTGGGAGAACGAGAAAGGCCCAATCCTCATTGACTTTTCTGCGGCCTCAACGGGGCCGCTCACAGGGGCATACCATACTGCGGTACGAAAGAAACGATCTGCCGGGATACAAGAGGTCAGCGGAGAGGGAACGCGAACCGGGACAAGGATGCATGTCTCATCTATATCGTCGTCTATGAGTCGACAGCCCTCCTCGGGGCATCCCTGATCGTGGATAGTGTGGAGCGGGGGGCAGTTCTCATCGCTGGGCGGACCAAGACTCCAATCTTGGTGACGCCAAGGCTAAGCCGCTTGAAACCACAAGTCGAACAATTCGTACCCATCAGTGCGGTCCAACCCTAACCGTTTACATTCTAGAAGGGAGGAGGAGGGAGCTAGCAGATCAACTCCAGGTGTATCGCCAGGCTTGGACATCGCAGAAACACTTACAACACTCAGAACCCCCTTTGCACAGCCCATCATCTCCTGCTCCCGATACGGCGGACATCTTGACTCGGTGATGTCGTAGGCGATGCTAGTCATGGATACCAACCTGAGAACGGCCGGAGTGAACTCTGTTGAATACCCTCTCTCCCTGTAACAGCGCGGTTTCACTCAGTTGCACCGCTGCCTCTATCCGTCTTCCATTTCGTACAATCTGCCAGTATCGTCGCTGATCTCGGTCTTCCTCTCCACCATCAGGGCTGGCGAGCCGCCTCTTCCAACTCCCCAGCTGCGCAGTATGCATCCACGGGATGGCGACGCTTCACCTGCCCGTCTGGCTCCTCACCCTCCGAAGGGAATACAGGATGGATGCGGGTGCATGTGTGTGTGTGGTTCAGCCCATTGAGCGGACTGCAGGAAGACTCGAGGGAAACCCCCTGCGAGAAAACCACCCGACTGCGCAAAGTATATTTTTGCATCTTTTGGCCGTGATCTCGCACAGCCGTGTACATTAAACCAGGAAACACCTCATATATACGGCCAATCAGCCCATGATACTTGTGCGTGTTGGTGGAGCAGAAGCTGCGCACTAACGTCTGCAACCCCGGCTGTTCATATATTTCCAGGAGTCGCCGCCTTCGCGGGGTCCGCCAAGTCTAGAATCTCGCATGTTGGTGCAAGGACAAACTGGGCAAAGCCTGGCTGGACGCACGATTCCCCTTCCCATCCTTTCCTGTCGACTCTACATTCCCCTTCCCTGTTGGTGGACCGTGGATTGAGTGTTTGTGTGTGTGTGTTCACTCTCTGGTGTGTGTGCCTCTTCTGCAGCCTCTGCTTATGCCTGGATATTGCCCGTCCCTGATCCTGCGCCGCCCTCCCACTTTCTCCTCATCTCTCTTTTCCTGCAAGCTGACTCTTTTTTGATTAGGCCCAGTCAGTCACACACACTCTTTTTACCTTTTTGACTTTCCCGTTCCCGCGCCTGGTCGCTTTTGCCTTCATTTGGTTCGCCTTTTTGTTTCTACTTCATCCTCGCCTCTCGCCCTTCCATCTAGGACCTGTTCCGTGCCGTGTGAGTGTTCGCCTTCTCGCACGCCGCCCGCCGCAGCCCGCCCGACGTCCGAACACCACCGCTTCCCATCGAGACTACGAACGGCCTCTTCAAACCACGACTCAGAGGTTTGAGGCTTTACAGCCCGGCCGAGAATGTAACGATGGACTTCTACTCACGAGCAACAAACGATGGACCCGTACATGCTTTTGTTAACCCTTTTGTCGAATTGAACGCTGGGTTGTGGAGTTTATTTGCTGGTGCGACCGTTTTCCTCGCACTGCGCCTTTGGTGTAAGATCACAAGACGACACGGACTGTGGTACGATGATTATATTCTTGTGATATCTTGGGTGAGTTGCACCCCCCTCAACCAACATCACCTAGCACCGCGTGCACACGATTTTATTATTTGCAATGTCTTCAAAGCACATCTGGTCTCCCCTTTGGATATGTTGGCCTGTCAGGTTAGTTGATGTAGTGTGACTAACCAACCCGACTAGACCCTTTTGCTGGCCAACAACATTTTGATTGTTTACGAATTCGCGACCGGCTATGTACTCAAGGACTCGTCAGAACAATGGGATGACCGCATGCACATCCTCATCAATATCTCATCTTGCGGCACTCTCATCGGACAAGCATGGACCAAGTCAGCTTTCGGCGTCACACTCATCCGAATGAGCAACCAATGGCAGCGATGGATTCTTTATTTCTGTATCGTCACGATGAACGTGTACATGATCGCCAAGGTTGTTGTTCAGTGGGGAAAAGTTTGCGGTAGCAAGAGTTACGACGGCGACTACCGACTGAATTTCTGCCTCGAAAAGAAATTCCGCGACGACTTCAAGGAGGGCGGAAACGGTGAGTTTCAAGTGATGGCAGGCAGTTTAAGTCTGAATGCTTTCTCATCGTAAGGTCTGGGCTGACTCGAGTGTGCAGTTTACAACATCATCATGGACTTCGTCTTTGCGTGCTTCCCCTGGTTGATCACCCGATCGCTGGAAATGAGACGCGCTGAGAAGGTTGGCCTATGTATCACGATGAGTTTGGGAATGATGTGAGTTTCAATCAATTCCATGATTTTGACGGTTTTTGGCAATATGCTAACTCTTACTCAGTGTCGCTATTGTTGCCGCCATCAGAGTCAGCTGGAAAGATGAGGGCAACGGTCGTGATCAGTGGTATATCTGTAAGCCAAGCAACCCAATCTTGATGAAATCTCACATGAATCGCTAATACGATCTGATTACAGGGCGCAATGGCCTGTCCCAAGTCTGGTGAGTAGTATTCTGAGGAGCCGAGTTCCGTGCCATCTCCACTCAAGGACGCGTTCGCTAAGATTGCACCAGGTACTCGTCGGAAATTACCGGCACCATCATCGTGCAGTGCATCCCCATTCTGCGCCCAATTCTCAGGGAAATCCACACGTCCTTGACCTCCAAGAGACTGGAGTCTACCGCCGGAGGCCAGAGCACGACCTTCGGAAGCAAGCTCAGCAGTGGCAAGCGGATATCTACGGGCGTAATGCAAAACGACAAGCAGGGAAACGAGCGGATCGCGCTCCGCGAGATCCCCGAGGAGCCCGCCGACGACTCACCGTACTGGAAGCAGGATCCCGCCCGCTCGTCCGACTCGACGACATCGCCGTCCGAGACCGACTTTAAGCCGCGCCCGCCCACCGCACCGCTGCCCGACATGTGGCCGCTATCAGGAAACGAGAGTGCAGATCTCAACGGATCTCACTCCGGCAAGAGCTTGGATTTCGAGCACGACCCTCACAACATCTCCCATTTGGATGTTGAGCAAGGGCATGTTCAGCAAGGGTTATCGCCGCCACCACCTCGCAGGTTTCCTTAGCCATGATTAGGAACGAAAAGAAAGAAACGATGTCAAGATTATTTCACAAAAAAGGAGGCAGTAGCAGACCGAGAACTCAACCCCATCCGGTAGATGTAACTGGACTCCTCACCTCGGCAGAGAGACACCAGACAGCTTCGAGAATCATGAGAACATAGAGAATGAGCGCACCGAGCAACAAAAGAGGTCCTTCATCACGCCCAACCCACCTCATAACCTCCACTTCTCCCCGTCAGCAAACCCGACATACTGGATGTTTCGTCCATGCGGTGGTTTCAATTGGGGTCCCGGGTTCAAATCAAGATCCCTCGACCCGAAGTTCGACAGCTAGCTACCATACCTCTTTTGTTGCGCAACACGACACGACTCTTTCTCACTCACTCATGCACCACGACGATCATCAAGACCGGCGCGGTCTCAACTCATGACAACTCACGTCGCTGGGATATGAAGCTTTCCTCAGGGAACATCCTGAAGGGGAAAAACTGGAGTTCACGGAGGGGAGGGTCCTTGGGATGTGGGGGAGCGCGAATCCGGCGAAAATAAGCCCTTGTATATTACTCGCGTTATTTGGATTGGCAGCGGAAATTGTGTGTATACTTTTAACGATTGGGCATCAAGTTATCCCAATCAAGTACATAGTTCATCATCATCATCATCAACAAGAACAAGTTACATATCTTGCTGGAAACACCTCGTTCCTTTTTGGTTGCCCCATTCAGTGTGATCGCCTCTCTCGTCATTTGGCCCCTTTTTGCTCACCACCCCTCCCCTAGACCGAGGCTGAGCATAACATTGAAACAACGGTCCGGGGGCGATCTCTGGAACGGTGAACCTGGGAACCTGGCCGTGACGCAAACTTGTCAAAAAAGTGACATGCTGCACCCCAGTTGAGCACTTTGCGTTCTTCAGGGTTACGACCTGTTGTTCTCTGACGGAAATGGCTATGACATCAAAATCCTCCGATGCTGCAGTCACTCAAAAGAGTTAGTGTGGCAGCTGTCTTGTCAATTAGGCACATGCAACCACACCGAAACTCCAAGTTCAGTGCATGCGACCGTTGGAGGGAAAGGGGTCAAGCCACAAGGTCACAATTGAGAACATGTTCGTCTCTAGCGATCTTTGGGCCCATCAATTAGCCAAACCTTCAATTGCGATGAAGAAACCTCTGGGCGATTGACGGGGTACTTTAGCGTGACTGACGTGCATTTGTCTCGCGTCGGGCAAGGGGATCATACCGAGAATACGTAGGTACCTAGAGAATCCGGAGTGCTGATCGGCGTTATGCTCATCTGAGTTGAGAGTAACGTAAGTAGTAGTGAATCTACGGCAGTTGAACGATATGCGAATCCACAACAACAAGCACCGGAACTCTGGAAACCCGTCATATGCAGCGTGCTGTGATTGACAAATGGCCCGGGTCCACGATGCCGTCCGACTGGTGCAAGTCACACAACAATCTTCTCAACGGTGACTTCTCGTGGCTAGGCACAAAACACGAGACAAGGAAACACGAGTAATAACGCGCGGCGATTAAGAGAGTGCTCAAGCCTTTTCCCCCGAAGATTGTCATAAGATGTTGCACATCATAGCCACCCCAAAAACCAATTCCGTGGCCTCCCATGTTTGATCGTCTGTATAAGCTTGTTAGAACATCGCGTGCGCGCGGCGTTCAATATGTGATACGCCTTATGTTCCTCATCGCCAGCAAGGGTGTTGGTCGTTCAAAGGGGGATGTGTGGCAGGGCTTGGCTTGAACTTGCGACAGGTGCAAGCGATCCGTGCCCGCGCTGTCCACGCTGCCTCCACGCGGACAGAGTGTCAAAATGACTTGGACGAACGACATCTGATGGGTTTGTCTTCGGACGAAGATGGAACGACTGGAATTGGATAGAGATACGATATGCTACTCCCACCTTCCCGATGGACAGTATTCAGGCCGGTTTCAAGACCCTGTGTTGAGCAAAAGTGTGGTGTTGCACCGTTGCACGTCATGTCCGTGGAGAATTACATGGCATATCAGGCGCCAACCACAAGAGCTTCAATGGACCACGGGTAAGAACTTCGAAAATACCGGAGGATGCACATGTCAATTGAGAGTTTCTCGGGGCGAGCGAAATGATTGATTCCTTGTTTGGTCAAAGGACTTGGTTTACAATGCTTGGCCAATTGCCTCGGTTTTCCAGATTCTCTCACTAGTACCTTAGTGCAAAACTAGAAGTCAAAGCTCTCGAGCTCTCAGTGATAGGACATGCATACACCTGGTAAATGTTTTCTTTGCAATTCATCATAGTGCGGGTTCTCGGAGTTGCCAACTGCCAACCAATGGCTTTGGAAGCCTCGGTCACAAGGACATAGGTCTAACTACGCGTCTCCCTTGTCCCGAACTCAAGCTACTGCTCTGGCACAAGGATCCTCCCGGCGCTACCTTCATGAAGACACTTTATCTTTGCCATTGGTCTCAAAAGCTTCGGTCTAAAGATAGCTAGGTTGGCTTCTGAGTAAATAGATGTAAACTCCATACAACCTCCGGACTTCCCATATAATAGTTCCTATTTACACTCAAAATGGCCCACTGTTGCAATTCAATTGATCCGACGATACGTGGATTCGGCCGATCAGCAGTTCGCAGTCGCACTCGTTCAACGGCGGGGAAATTCAGTGAAAATATGGGACTTTTAGATGGACATCACGCCATTCCGGGGAGCTGGAAAGATTGTTGACGGGCAGAATATCAGAGTGCCGATTCAGTGCAACGCTGCTACCAAAGTTCAGGACAGCTTCATAGAAACTTCATCCGTCCGTTCTTGGCAATTTACACACTCTCAATCAACTCCTTCGAAATGTCAGCGTTAAGCCCACACACAAATGGAAATACATGACTCAACAGCTCGTCAAAGCGTATCTAGAACACTATTCTCTTGCATTATACCGAGTCAACCGACGAGAGCTAAAAAAGGAAGCTAACGCAGACGATCCTAATCATCGGGACGGCCCCAGCGATGGTTCCCACTATCTAGATTAAGTCCCCCAAAGTTAAAAGGTGAGCTAGCACGCCCGACTCCATGGTAAGCACGTCAGGCGCTGATAAACTGATAGGGTTCCAGTATTCATGACTATGCCCTCTGGGCAGATATTTGTCGGTCATTCTTCTGCCCTCGTTCGCCGGAACTGCCGCCGGCCGCGTCACGGCTCAACCGAACACCAGAACGCGGGTATTGTACATATCTACTTTAAGGTATCATGAACCTGATAGAAGGGCCTTTAGAGTTAGAGTTTGGCTCTTGCCCCGGCAAGGGAAACGCAGCTTGGTAAGCCGGTCACATCTTGGCGGGTGGTTTGTTGGAATGCTGTTGCGCAGAGTTAGCTTCGCTGGATTTCGGGTCTTTCCAGCTGGGTCTTACTCTGATGTGAAAACTCAAAGTCGGCACGATGACGGAACGAAGTTACTTCAACGATTCGTGTTGGCATTGTGAGCCCTCGAGCTTGGATACGTAAGACAATTCCTGAGGCTTTGAATCTTGTGTGCATAGAACAATAAGATGTGTGACAAAAGTATCTAGAATGATGTACAAGGGAAACTCGGCTTTGAGCGCCAAATAACACCAAAACATTATGGGAAGTATAATCAAAAAGACCAACAGAGATAACCCTTAATAATACCGCTCCTTCCGACTCACATCTAGCTTTCTCGTATGTGTTGTCTCCTGGAAAGCTAGTTGAATATTGCGTTTATCGTCAGACTCCGCTCTCACAACCTTCTCCCACACTTTGTCAGAAGTGACACCAGCTCCAGCATCTGCCAAATCCTCATCAGACGGAGGCGGCGTCTTCAGTGCGAGTATGATCAAGTCTTGTAAATCTGACCATGGTATCACGCTCAGGACACGGATGCGCTCTCCACCAGACTTGACCTTGAAGAGCTCCAGTACGTACCCAGTTGCCACTGTTGCGGCATAGACGGCGATGATGCCGAGATAAATGAGCATCATCACCTGGGCAAATTCCAACGTTTTGCGACCTTGTCCTGATCCGTATCCGTAGCGCTGCGCAGTAAAGTTGATTGGTAAAGCCGTGTTCAGCACCTCAGTGAATGCTGCAAAAGTTGTGTTGCGCTGGGTTGTGCTGTCTCTCCACTCATCCTGAAGATGAGTGTTGTTGAAGGGAGTGATTTTATGAACACCTCCGAGGTAGCCGTGTTGCTCGTTCAAGTCAAGGTAAGTTAGCTCGGTGTCAGTGCTATTGAGCTTGATCCGGGTTCTCTGTTCTTGACTGTTCCGTGCCAGACCCTCGGCGAGGTAAACTCCAAAGACTTTGGCCAGAAATATTTCTGATGCTGTATTGTTCGCACCATCGACTGGAGCCACAACGTTCACAGTTTTCCCATTCATCTTCACCTTCGAAGAGAAGTTGAGGATGATCTGATTAACCCCCGAGGTGGTGGTCGTATTTGTGATATTCCAGTGTGGGTTGAGGAATTTGAACCAATTCGACCAGAATCTTATTACTCGGATGTCGTCTTGACTCTTGCCGTAGTACATGTCTCGCATGCTTTTGTCGTTACTAAATGTTGACTGAAGACTGTCACTGACGCTTGGATCCATTGAGAAGTTAGACGGCGCCCAACTTGCGTACAAGCTACAAATGTAAACCAAGTTTCTCGATTCCCCAGACGTTGAGTCGGGTATCATTCCATTCAGGTACACAACAGTTGAGTTTTCTTTGTCTAGAAAGAATGTGCTCGAGGCCGAGATATTGTCGAGGTTCGCATTGTTCAGCCATTTTGATTCGTTGAATTCCCTAGGTTTTCGTTGGGATTGAAGACAATCGGCATCATCGAAGCAGTTGAGAGATTTCGTTGGAAAGCTGACAGATCCAGGAGTATCCGCCAAGTAACCTTTATCGTGTATTGTACACCTGGACTGTACAAATGGTTGGTAGAACCCCGATCCCTCTCCTGTCGGTGAGTTGACATTGGCGCCTCCTTTGGCTGTAAGCCGGTAGCGAGGTTCGCGGGATAGGGCACCAACATCGGAGCTGTGAATGAATTGCTGGAAGAGACCGATGCTGGTCATGAGGAAGTGCGATGGCGTGGTGGTAAGCGTGGTCGAAGGTGTGTTAGGCTTGTCGTCGGCTTGCGTGAACACTAAATGGCGCCTAATATCTGACGACGTGGAATAAAATGTGAGATTGTTGGTCAAGTCGGTGGCTGCGTAGTCCCGTACCCAGCTCGAGATCACAGGGAACCCGCCAGCTGGACAATAATCTCGGTAGACCCCCGCAGGTCCTTGGCACTCCGTGTAATCGCTGAAAGGGGCTCTGAACCATATGGCCTTCCGATTCCACCAGTACAACAAGGGCGGCTCGATTTTGCTGAACGCTGAGCTTGTATCAAATTCGTACCAACCCAAGCTGGGTAGGAGGAGGACCGCAGATGCTGGTCCAACAATTGTCGAAAGTATGGTTGCGAAGACAAGGAACCCGGGTAGTAGCATTTCCCAGGGCTTGGACCTGTTGAGACCTTGGTGACGGAACGACGAAGTTCGAAGGTAGTTGAGATCTCCAACTCGATAGCCTCCAGTGAGAAAGCCCAATCGTACACCAGTTGTGACGAGACGTCTCCGATACATCGCAAGAGCAATCGAAGACAATGATGCCACGATCAGAAGCTCGTGCAGTTTAGCTACAAACTGGAGAATATTGCTGATGATATCGGTGTCTAGTCGATAGCCGCTGACAAGCGGACCGATCTCCGGATACCAGTAGAATTGTATTGAACCAATGAGTAGAACGGCTGTCGTCACCAGTATAGCAGGGAGGTGAACAATCCATCCGTTGAAGTAGCGTGACCATTCAGTTCGAGTGATGGGTTTCGAGACCTTTGAACCTTCCATACCGGGTAAAGTAGACCTAGAATTCTGTTTGCCTCGGTGCTGTGCAGGTCCGAGGTCCCCTTCATATTGGTCTCGAGGATCTTCCGTAACTTTTGCATATGACCAGTCACTCGTTCGCCTGTCGCTTGAGCGTTGAGTTTCTTCGTCAACGCTCTTGGTTCGACTAGATAGTAGTGGCCTGTCCCACGATATCTCTTCGTCAGTCAGTCGCGACAACGTAGAGATTGGTCGAGGGGACATCTCATAGTGTTCTAGTGGGGGACTGATTAGAAGATCCGGGGAGCGCTGGTTATCGAGCGGAACTCCTCGACTCCATGCCCTTTGCGACATGCTCTGGCGTTGATGCCGCTCAGAATCTTGCTGGATTGGATCCATCGCATCTGAAGGAGGAAAGTACTCGGCGTCGACAAGTTTTAGACGCGGTCAAGGCCACCACGTCTTGATACCGAAAACAGAGACGAGAGAGATGAGAAAACCAGACAAGGAAGTTTGGATTGGGATCACGGCTGCTAGTCATAAATATGCAAGAAGTCAATAAATCATACCCAGCTGCTACTGACGGACCCGTCGATCAGAATTGAGATGACCACCCCCTCAGACCATACTAGTCGAGAGTGGATGCACTCACCCTGCAGACGCAGCCTGATGTCAAGCCACTAGTTAAATATAGCCAAGACAAGTTCCGGTGCCTTCAAGGCCCCCACGATAAGACTTAGAGTCAGGTTGTCGTCAGCTGCTTAACAAATAGATTGTAAATAAATCATTGATGCGAAACACTGGTAAATATGAGACTCCTGTAGCAGCTCAAACGAGTAGATGGACTCACGATAGTAATTTACCCTGAGGTTTTGATGGGTGATACAGGAGATTGAAGTTTTCATTCTTGTGTCTACTAGTAATCTCACCGCTGTGTAAGAAAGTCTCCAAGACGCCCCGCGTTTTGAAGGCTGTCTCTAATGTTCCACAGAGGGAATGGAGGCTCAAAGCCTTGTAATACAGGCCAAGGCACGAACAGCGGTTACTCGAGATCGCCATATCAACGAAATCAATCAGGCTGTCGTATCGGCAGACAGAAAGTGTCTGCCTAATGGACAAGGGTAACATCACCAATCACACAAAAGGCACTCAGCCCAAGGCAGGGGTGTTCTTCGGGAACAGACATGATGGCCCCCAATATGGCTACCTCGTATGCAGTCAGCATTACCCATACATCACCAATTTGACGGAATGAATGACCACCTCGGCGGAACTTCGAGTCCCCGTTGGTCTCTCTGGATTGGACAACGCAAAGCCCTCAAAATTTTGATAAGGCTCGGGGAGGCGCAGTCTGTGCGGCTTAGGGATATGATGTGCACTCTAAATCAGCTACAATAGTCCGAGACTTCTCTCTTTGCCATTGTGTCAGCTTGGATGACCACGTGGTAGTTTGTGAGAGAAGGCTTTGTAGTAAACCGCTTCGGGTTCGATCGAGTGGCCATCACTTTGATAAGAAGGCATGTATGAATTTGGTCAAATAGAGAAACTGAAGGCATTCAGTCTTGTTTCGATTCGCCCGAGTATAGCATAAGTAGAGAGTTGCATCGCGCGAATACTCTCGCACCTTTGCTTCATAGTGAATGCATGGCTCTTGGTAGTTAGGCGGTTCAATTTTACAACCAGAATTCATTCACCTGGGATTTGTGGCAAAAATGACAGTGCACCGTCAATTACGGCAGGTCATAATCAAACTCATATACACCATTGCGACGAAAATCGAGCCTGGTCTTGATTTGACATTTTGCCCTCGATAGACTTGAAGATTAAAACATCGAAGAGACATTCGATGAAAATATGACGTTCATGGCAAATGAGCATCTCTTTCCCATGGATTTCAGCATTCAAACTTTCGCTTCCTGCCGGTCCGAAACTCTCGCATCAACTTGCATGCCGCAGGTTGCTCAGCGTGCCCTGTGCCTTCACCTTCCGCGTGGCAGTTGTTCCGCGGTCCAGCAGATCCTGGATAGAGTTCATGACTTGCAGGCGCTTCATAAGCCGGATTGGATCAGCATGCCAAGCCTTTTGGCGGCACTTGCTCCCCAATAACAAGATCTGTATTGAACGGTGGATAGTGGATTCCAACGTGGGAAACTGGGATGAGGTTGTTTGGTGCAGCATTGAATGCGACGCATGCACACCAAGTTGTTTTTTCCAGGTTTCATGAAAATTGATAGGACGTGTGCCGCCATATATCAGGGGTCGCGATGGAAACTCCGCCAAATTTCTCTGCCGTGTCGTGCCAAGCCGCCAAAATCACAAGTACCGGAATGCCGTGGATGTTAGAGCCGCGCGAAAGTTTCACAGAGAGAGGGAGAGAATTTCAGGTGGTGCCTAAGAGCATATCTATTCATGCGTCCAAAGACGGGTATATACACTGACGATGCTTTGTTTAACGGGTTGCCTCCAGCCGAAGCTCATCCCCTCGATCAAAGTGCCGAGGGACGATCGTCGAGGCTAACTGATGTACAGTGAATAAGAAACAAAACTGTCCGAACAACCATGGAAGTGCAGGTCATTGGCGGACTATGAAACATTCTCTCCGAAATGCTCGACTTCCCCTTGATCAACATGACAGGCCTGCCGTCTGTCTTTGCTGTGATGTTTACATTGGAGTCTTTCATACCATGATTTCCACACAACATGGAACCATTTAGTCAACGAGGAAGAGGTCGCGGGCGTGGTTGCGGCGCTTCTTGGAGCTGTACAGAGCAGGTCCAGGAATAGGGTAGCTGGTAGCACCGCTGTAGATGTCAAAGAGAACACCCTTGTCGTTGGCAGTGTACAGGCTAGTACCAGCCGTGCCGGAGGGGGTGGCGGAACCGCTGCCAGTGATCTTGAGGTTGATGCACTGGGGGTAGAACTGGGCGCCGTTGGCCTGGCCAGCGCTGTGGAGGGCAATGATCTCGTGACGGAGAACGTAGTTGCCGGGGGCGATGTCGCTGGGGATGGCGATATCCCACTTGAGGCCGTTGCTGATGAGCTCGTCGGCAGCCCAGCTGCTGCCGGTCAGACCCTTCTCGGCGATCTTGAAGAACTTGAGGTCGGCCTTGGTGGCGCTGGAGCAGTCTCCGGAGCACTTGGCGAGATAGTCGATGAGAGGACCCTTGTGAGACTCGGGCCAGGTGTTCCACTTGACGGTGACCGTCTCTCCGGCGGCGACCGTGACGCTGGTCTTTCCGGGAGTGGCGGACTTGTGGCAGATGATGTCGGCCTGACCAGCAGCGTCGGGGGCAACGAAGCCGAGATCCTGCTGTTGAGCAGCCCAGCCGGGGACATCAGGGGCAGGGTTTTGGTAGGGGGCAGTGGTAGGGTTGTAGTTGTCGGTGGTCTTGCCGCCGGCGGTGATGGTCTCAACGTAACCGTGGGCAGAGACGGCAGTGGCGCCGACCAGAGCAGTGAGGAAAGCCTTGGTGTACATCTTGAATGGTTGTTGGGGGTTGTTTGTCAAAAACAGGTGGATCAAGTGGTGAAAGAACGGATGAACAGCTCACAGAGCAAAGAATGAATTGGGTCAAAGAAGGGGAGGAGCTGGAGAGCAATGCAGGTGAAGTGAAGGACGAAGTGGAAAGCTTGGTTAAGAGAAAGGAGATAGAAGCTGGATTCAAGGCGTTTCTTATACTCATGTCCAACACCTTCCTGCCCAGACAAAAGTTCAGATGCCGGGCATCCCACATCGTGGAGCAGTGGCCCGACGTCCCGTCAAGGGGGAACGAAGGTGTGGACAAACAAGTCCACAGCTCCATGTCACTCGATGAAAGCCCGTGTTCAGCATAATCCCAGTAAACATACCAAATCAGACCCCAGACAGGCGGCAGAGGTCTCAGAGGATGTCCAAAGTCTTGGTATTCTTTTGCAGGGAGCTTCGCTTCCGAGTTCTGGCTCTCGGCTTGCACCGCGAATCGCCCATATCACTATCGCGAAGCTCAGCAAGAAGCGGAAGGCTTCTTTGTCACTCGACAGACGCCCAAGCCCCTTACTGCCGAGCTCCAGTGTCTTCCATCTGGCCCAAACAAGTCTTTCTCCTGTAAAAGGAAAGCTGAGGTCTTGGCGATAACGAATAACGGAGAATGTCCCCCCGTACGCGTGGGCTCGGGCCACTGAGGTTGGCCGCAAAAACATTGGACGGACCACAAAGGCGGAGCGCCGGAGACTGGCCACATGGATGACAGATCAATCTATTTCGCACGGGGGCGGTGGATAACAAAGTCTCGGCGGGATCGGCGGTCACATCGGGGACGGGGCTCGTAGTTGGATTAGTTGTCGGAACAGGAACGTGGACGACCGCATTGGTGGGAGCGAGACAGCTCACGGGTCTGATTCTGAGCCTGGGCCATTCTGACAGACCTGGGCGGCAGTCGGGATCATCTACCGGGAGTCCGCATGGGCAGTCCCCCGACGCTTCAAGTTGAACGTTCGACCAACGCCTGGTGCTCGCGGCGGCCCCGACCAGCGGCAATCGAAACCTAAGGAGGCGCCGCATCTATACTTCAAAAGCTTGGCTTAATTCATTTGTTGGTGTCGCATGCTGTCGTGGCACCAACGTCTCGACCGCGTGTTTGCAGCTGCTGGTACTGGTTGTAGTGTTTTCCAAACGTGCATTTGACACTCTACTGTGAACTCGTCGAGTCTCACTTGATATTCTACCGAGCCATCAAGTAGAGTTGGCGCAAGACATGGTAATGAAGTGGGAGCAGAAATTCCAATGTGACGGAAGATCTGGGGGCGCCCGATTTGGTCGGTACTTGCTTGCATGACGCATGAGACGAGCCCGGGGCTTAGTGATGGATACTGGAGTCTCCTCGCGGAGCACTGCTCTGTCTAGGTCTTCTGTGATCACTGATGATGAATGGACAAGTCGAAGAACCTAGACAACAGAACTGGAAACCTCAATATTTTTCGCATTCACGGCCATCCCTCCGCAGCTCGTTGCAACGGTGTGGCGTTCATGGGCCTCGTCATCAGCTTTCAGACAACTCGAACCGAATGTTGACGGGTCATGAAACACGGGAAAGACAGGCCTCTCCCTGGTAGCAAAGCCCATCCGACCGGCGGGAGAGGACAACTTTAATTAATCTTAATTCTTGGCGCAGCTCTTTATAGGCCCGAGCTCTACTTTTTCTGTCCAAGGATCCTGGGAGAAATCCACGTTGCGCAATCAATTCGGATGCAAGCGAGCAAGGAGCAAAATGTCCAGCCCCAATCCAGATGAAAAGGGATGAAACAAAAGCGGCCGAAAAAAGAAAGGGAGTCTTGTAGTCTGGTGACGTGACGACAGAGTTCATTCCAACTCTTATGCTTAAAATTTTGATCATGGAGATTTATGAAGTAAAATTTGAATGTTCTACTCCGGATCAGTGTGGTTCTTGTGGAGTTTACAAAGAGTGTTCCACTGTGGACGTCAGGTACTTCAACCTATAGGTCGTCGATTGAAAGGGCGCTGCTCGACAATACCTGCGACAGGATCAGACATCGTGGCTCACGAGGGTTGAAATCTGTAGCTGTGCACAATTTGGCTATATACTTATTTCGCCGACCTCGGGTTTCCTAGAATCCCGGTGACTCCATGGTAAGAAACTTGAATGGCACGTCAGGTGTCCATTGCTTGTGGACTCAACTGGCCGAGCCTTGCACAAGCCACAAGCCAGTTCTTCCAAGCTCCAACACGAGAATCCCGTTATGCTATCTACCGTTTACAACGAGCCCCTCCAACGAACCACTCTTCCCGGTACTGACTAAAGTAGTACTGAAAACTGACTCGAATCCCAAGGTCATCCCGTGATCCCCTTGCCCAATAAGCCAAGCTAGGAATTTCTCACGATATTTTATCCTAAAGCAGCCTCGCTTCACTCATCCTGGAATTGATGCGGTTGCATTTTTGCTCACCAAAGCCAAGACAATAATACTGAATCAACAATTGAAATCAAGCCACCACGGGGCTTCCTTGCAAGGGCCGGATTGAGGTCGGAAAGACGAGTCATTCTTAAAGCGCCAAGAAGTTGGCTCAATATCAAGTCCGGAATTCCGTTCCGTCTAGTGGTTCGAATGCTGCTTTGCTTCATAGTTTATCAATGTCAGCATACATATCACAAAAGCAGGGTCAAGAAAGTCAATGGTTGAATCGTTCGATTATCGCTTATCTCCACATGATACACCAAAGTAAGTACACATGTAGTAAAGACCGACAAGAACGCCCTCTGCCCTCAGACGAAATCATACATCCTAGGCCGAGAAACAAGTCCCAGAATTCATCAAAGAAAGCTCCCAATCTTCACTGTTGTGTCTATCTCGGTTGAGGTCGGCATTTCAGGATCCTTCTCATCGCTAAGAGAGGCGAGGCACTTAGCAGCCAGCGTAGATGGATTGGGCGAAGAGGGCTAAAGAGCAACGTTAGCATTTAATCAAGCTTGAGGATCAGATTTAATTGGGACACAAAATTGAGACTCACTGTAAGTGTCGGCGTGGTTGAGGTTCTGAGCAGCTGTCAAGCTGCGGACGAAGTTGTATCCGTATCCGTTGTAGTCAGAGGTGCCTCGGATCTGGGTCAGATGGGTCATCTCGTGAACGATACTACGTTGGTCAGCATCACATTCTTTTCGCTAGAGACATCTAGACTCACGTAGTCTGTTGGTCCTGAGCATGGCAGGTTGAAGAGGCCGCAGACATGGTGAAGAAGGTGGGGCCTGTCACAGGTAGAATCTTGTTAGATCTTGGTGGACTGACGAGAATCCCGAGACGGGTCTGAACAGAGCAAGAAACTTACAGTTGACCATGTAGGATTGAGACGGAAGAGTGTATGCGATGACGTTGCTGGAGCAGGCGCCGTAGACATCGCTGCAGTACTGGCGAGAGACACCAGAAGTGGTGCTACCGCACTCCGAGACGATTCTGCCAAAGACGGCAGCAACAGTGTTGCGGGTGGCAGTGGTAGAGGACTTGAAGTACTCAGTCATGCGGGCAGCCGGACCAGAGGCAGCAGCTGAGGATGCGGCAACGGCAAGAGAGCGGCAGCGGGTGATGGCATTGACCTATTTCCGGCAAGTTAGTCTGGATCGGATCCGGGCCCGAAGTGGACTTCGGCACGGAGCTGGTCCGTGCATCGGTCGGAGCAAGGAGAAGTGACTTACTGTGACAGTGCGGCGGGTGCCGGTGCAGTCAGCCTGCACGGCTGTGCGCTTCTCAATGAAGGCGGTGCGAACAGAGGCAGCCTCCTCGCCGTTGACCTCAGTCTTGATGCTGTTGCTGCTGAAGGGAACAGCGCCGGCAATCTCGGTCGAGTCGGCATCGGCGTAGAGGAAGGAGCCCTGAGTGACGATCTCGACGGCGCCGCCGGTGCTAAGGTCGTGGAGCTCGGCAGCATCGAACTCAACCTCAACGGTCTCGCCAGCAGCAACGATCTGGAAAGCTTCCTCGGTCAGACCGGCGGTGGCAATCTGAAGGCGGATGCCATCGAAGTCGACCTTGTTGCCTATCGTGTATTGAGTCAGTCTAGGTCCAGCCTTAGATCATAGACACAAGACTAACCGGCAGCGAAAACCTCGACCTTCTCAACGGGAGCCTTGTCAAGGAACGTGCCGGTCTTGAACAGCTTGATGGCAGAGTCACCAGTGTTGGTAAGGGCAGCCTTGACACCCGAGTTGCCAATGGCCTCAAGCTTGACGTCAAGTGGGGACGTGTCGCGCTTGGCCATGTCAACGTTGACGGCGCTGGCCAAGGTGGCCAGCAGAGAAACACCAATGGAGAACTTCATGATTGTTGCAAGAACCGGAAGAGCAAGAGCAGAGGCTGTCGATGAGGATCGAGCTGTGGATAGTGAGACAAAAAGGAAATATTAGATTGAAGGTCGAGCTGCGTCTCTTTATAGTGATGTCCTCGACTTCATCTTTGGTCTCCTTCTGAGTATATCTTACACTGCTTGTCGATAAAGTTGCATCAAAGTCCCATCATGTCTGAGCTAAGCAGAAAAAGGAAGATAGAACGTCGCCCAGACTGCCTAGACGGACTTGGGACTAAAGCGTGGAAGGTGGAACGGGCAAGCCTAACCGATGCCAAGATAGCTAATATCAACAGGGACGGTAGTTAAGACTTTCTGCAACCGTCCAGTACACAGTAGAAAGAGAACTGATGGCATTGACCTCATCTACCGTCTACGTCCAGACAGCCCTGCCGATCACAACCCCGCATTGGTCGTGCGAGGATATCATGACACTACCTAGGTAAGGTAGACACCACATGGAACAAAGGAGGCATTGGTGATATAGTTGCTTCTTCCTAAATCTTTATTACTATCGGGGATTCCTCAATCTGATCAATATGGGCAACGTTAAGCTTATGTTTTTGGGTCGGCTATTTCATCTTGACTTTGTTCTAGTGATACCGATCTCCGCCAGGGAAATCCACTAGAGCTAAAGAACTGATAGAAGCAACGAGGCCTCGCGATGAATCTCCGTCAACTAGAACATCATCAGCCGGGACCCCGGACGGGCTATTCCGCCGCTGGTGATTACTTGCCGTGACCAGTCGCAAAATCAGGGGCTCTTCGCGTTCGGTAGTCTAACCCAAGTTACGAGCGGCCAATTGAATTACATCGAGGCTGCAACCGAAGCTGGTGATCGTTGATGCCCAGAATCAACGTCAAGTACCAACCTCCAATAAGAAATTGCCAAACATGAGATGCCAAGGGTGTGCCAAGTGCACAAGCCGGAGACTAGCTCGAGGAAGGAAGGAGAAGAATAAGGATGAAACCTCGACTTCTTCGCGTGCTGCCAATGCTTCCGGTGCAGTTCTGGACTTAACGAACGTCGGCCATGGTCAAGTCATCAGCTGGCTGATATGTATGGAAAAAACGCGCCTGTCGACCAATGATGAGGGGAGCGGATCATGCAGTCGGATGACTTCGGTTAACAGATAGGAGAATTATGTGGACGCTGGTGGAGATCGCTACTTTTGAGTTATCGCCCCAGAGTTGTATTTGACCTGCAAGACTGTGAGCTGTTGACCCAAAGAGGGAGCTGCCAATGCGTGATCGGTAAGCTCGGTACCTTAAAGCCATTAAGGTAGCTTTGCCGAGAAAGCAACTATGCGTGTGCCGACTGGCTGCGACTTATCACTTCAGCAGATTCAACTTACAACCAGTCTCAAGCTTCAATTTGCCCCTCCTGACCAGTCTTTACGCGTGTTGAGTGCCTTAACTTGGCTCGGCAAACCATCAGAAAAACGCGCGACAAGTGCTTTCCGAAAACAGCACACCATGCTGTGTTTCTCCTCATATAATAGCCTGGAAACTCCAACAGACCTTCCTTCTTTGGCCCGGCTTTTGAGGTGCGAGAGGCACAGCAAGTCCGTGGAAATCAAGCTAGTTTCTGGGCGCGGTACGTGTATACTGCAGCTCATTTCTTATTGTCTCTTGGCTTCTGCTTGGCTTCCTCTTGGCGATAAATACCTCCACCTCCGCTCCTGACTCGACCGTGCTCCCCGCGGGCAAATCGCTTTTCCGAAGAGCCAAGCTTAACGATGCCGGAACTTCGTAAGTCTCGCTGTGCTGTTCAGCTCGTATTCTGCAAAACCGCACCCTCCATTACGTGAAGCTCATGCTCGTGCATCGGAGACACATATCAAAAGAAGAAGGTCTCTTAGGGATTCTGGAAGCGATACGTCCACTGCTATTTTATGAGCTGATTATCATGATAAGCAGACGCGGAGATAGTTGGATGTTGACTGCTTTTCTTTGATGGATCGTGGAAGGACTCAACCATGCAGGTTGAAGATGGTGGTCATGATAGCGAACCAGTGATGTCAGCCTTCGTTCAATGTTGCCTTAAATGCCTTCCCGATCAGATACATATAGAACATCAGTCCTAACCAGAGTCCAGTTGCATTTAGAAAGGCCGGGAGAAGGATCTTTCGGGCACAACACTGAGAAAAACACGTCTTGGCTCTCGGTTACAATTCTACAGGAAATGTGTAAAGAGAAAGCGTTAGCATGAATACTTTGAACAATCGTGGCTTCAATAAGTTGTGCAGTAAGCAAAAGACAAGATAGAAAGGCGTCCTACTTTATATTACCTTAGATTGAACATGAATAGCGGTTACATTCTGGCGTATTATTTCATTAACGCTAGTAACGCTACCGGTAAGTAATGCACACTGATTTCAATTCCTTGTTGTAGATAAGCAGGGAGACAAGTTCGGGCAGATGCACACTACCGGACACCCATATCTTTAGGACAACTTTTACAGCCGATAGTAGAGCTCTGTCAATTGGGACTTCAGTTGTATCAGTTGTGTTTCTTGCTTTGCCTGATGTACGTGTAATGTGCATGTGTCTTGAATTGTCCATCATACAGAACGCTATGTGTATTACTGAGAGACGTTCGGGGAAATATCTTTAGGCGTATGATAAAATGTTACTTCTGGGTTCTTCAAGCACTCAAGGTATGCGCGAATGATACATGAGTAAGTAGGCCATCTAGACGTAACGATTTTCTGCCTTGCATACGATGCACATATGATCCGAAAGAGAAACCGACTGAGAACGACGTCTTCTTGTGTTGTCTACCCGTTAGACGACGTTGAGTTGCTCATAGCAACAGACAAGGAATTAGGTTTCGGGGCTTTTTTGACCGGACCAAAACTTAAATCACCCACCTTAGACTACAACTTAGAGACCTTATCTGCCCTACTTACTTCATGTATTGCCAGTGTTACTATCGTTCTTATATGTAATTCTCGTTGTAAATAGAAAATTGTCTTTCCATTCTAATAGCACAATTGCCTGGGCGAAATCTATTCCATTGGACCGTCTTACCCACAAACTCAGCATTGTCAACGTTATCCCCTAGGATAGTCATGGGGTAGAGATGGTGTAAGTGCCAACATCACTGTAGAGGACTTGAGCACTCTAGTAAGAGGAGAGGATTCAAATTCAAGAACAACTAATTCTCCAAAATGAGATATACGATCTTACTTTTCCAAATGTCCTGCCCTAGCTGCACTACCTTAGTCCCCGTGTCTGCACGACCAGGACCATAGGCACCAAGACACGCTGGAGTCTACCACCCAATCAAAGAGCATTTCACTTGCTTCTTGTACACGACCATACAATAGACCGCTCGGGCGTTAGGAATACAATGGTCATAATCAACTGATTTAGGAGCTTATTTCAGTGTCCTCACATCTTCTACCCCACTCGGGCAAGGACGAGTTCTTCAAATCCCAGTCACTTGCGAACGACCTCCATTAAGAGTTGAACCGTACAAGTCGATGGGAAACCCCGTGGACTAGAAATCAGGAATCAGATCAGGCCTGAACTCACAAAAGCTAATGTTTGCATGTGTGTGATTCTGTACCAGGACTCTAGGAACAAATGTCTGTGCTGCTTCACTGCCAACTAACGCCGACTAGGCGTGACATGATGTCATTGGGCGACGCAATCCCAATTTACCTTACTCACTTGCTCCAGGATGGCTATGGTATAAGAATCACATCAGCATTTCGAAATAGCTTCGGTTTCGGTTTCGGTGGTGCTCCTTTACTTATTTTCACCGCATTCCCCGTAGTTGCGGCCGAATGGGTCGTTTTGTGGTGAGCACATTGAACAGTTTGGTGGTATTTTCTCGGACCAGCCCCACGACGACTTAGACGAGGATTACGAAAGCTGGGGAGGCGACGATCGCCAGCACTGTCGCCGCGTAATGCAACCCTAGGCGTTCAAGACTCAGCCATAATGTTAGTCGATGGAATGCTAGTAAAGCCGCTATATCCGTTAGGGACCATCACCCCATAGGCCATGTTTTGAGCTTTGAAGCAAGACGGCTACACCGATCCTGGCTACAAGCGTGAAGAAAAGCCATGTTTGGTGGCCATCATTATACATGTACGCAAATGCTGTAGAAGCTTTGCAATGGAATATGTATAACCGTATTGGCTGCTGTGAAACATATATTGAATCACGATTTCCGCTTCATCACTACATGTACCTAATCCCGCCCTACTCTTAGCTCTTGCACTCTTTCTTACCTGCCGAATTATTTCGTCCACTTACCAATTATGGTGCAAAAAACCGTCATCGGCGCTGCACTGGCTCAGGCCGCAAGCGCAGCTCTTTACGATACTACCGTTCAGACAAAATATGGACTGATTCAGGGCTACCCGGCGTTCAATAGCTCTCCGGCAAACATGTCTCTTGATAATTGGGCAGATATCGCCGTCTGGAAGGGCATCCCCTTCGCTGCCTCTACCGCAGGCAGCAATCGCTTCAAGGCTCCTCAACCCATCGTCGCATGGAACTCAACTCTCGACGCCAAGTCATTCGGCAGTATATGCCCTTCTGCCGTGGGCAGCGGTACAGATGCCTACACCGTCGGCGAAGACTGCTTGAACCTAAACGTATGGAGCGCGGCAAACTCAACTGATGCCAAGTTGCCTGTCGTCATGTGGAGCTATCCGGCCGGTTCGACCGCAGCAATGCCGCTCTTCGATGGAGCAGGCATCGCCGACAAGGGCGTTGTATACGTCAACTACAACTACCGTACCGGATCTTTCGGCTGGCTTGCAACGCCTGAGCTCAACCAGGAGAGACTTAGCACCGCTGGATCGAACAGCTCGGGCAACTACGGAATGCTAGATCAGTTCGCCGCTTTGAAGTGGATTCACGAGAACATTGCCAGCTTCGGTGGTGATCCGGACCACATCACAGTCATGGGTCAGTCCGCCGGCTCGGCGGCTACTTACCATATGCTTAACGGCCCT